CAAAGAAGTCCTAATTAAGGCAGTAGCCCAGGCTCAGGCAACCTATACTATGTCTGTCTTTCTAGTGCCTGATGTAGTGCAGGAAGAAATCAAGAGTGTAATGTTGAACTTTTGGTGGGGTCAAAAGAAGGAGGAGAGGAGGATACCATGGAGATCCTGGGACAAACTATGCGAGCCAAAAGATGCACGTGGACTGGGTTTTAGGGATCTTAAGACCTTTAACCTCATCCTACTAGGGAAACAGATCTGTAATCTTATGCAAAACCCAGATTCCCTAGTAGCCCGAGTTCTAAAGGCCAAGTATTACCCAAATACAGATATCCTCCAAGCTAGAGTTGGCTATAATCCAAGCTATGTGTGGAGAAGTATAATGGCGACAAAGGAACTGGTAAGGAATGGGATACGATGGAGAATTGGGAATGAGACTCAAGTGGGGATCTGGGGAGACAAATGGATACCAAATGCTGAGGAAGATGGATACCAGATAGTCTCACCAGTTACCAATCTGGGAATTGAAGCTCGGGTGTCATGCCTTATCGACCCCACAACCAGACAATGGAGGGACAACGTGTTACAACAACACTTCAACCCAACTGACACGGAAAGAATTAAAGCAATTCCACTCCCTAGGGTACCTCAACCGGACAAGCAGGTGTGGAGTCTTGAGAGAAGAGGCCATTACACAACAAATTCTGGATATTGGGCGTGGAGACAGAGGCTGAAGCTGGAGAGAACAGACTCAGAGCAAGGTGAGGTTTATGACCCTGTGAATTGGAGGAAAGCATGGGAACTACCGGTTCCACCTAAGGTAAGGATGTTCTTGTGGTGATTTCTACAGAATATTCTACCAACAGGGAAGAATATAGAAAAAAGAAAGAAGGATGCCCATTTTGCAATATGGAAGAAACCTAGGAGCACATTTTTCGGAATGCGCGTGGGCAAGACGAGTCTGGGAACCTACCGAATTCAGGCCTATATTCGAGAAACGGGGAAATCTATCATGCACATCATGGTTCTGCGAAGTATCAGAGGAAATCGAAGAGGAACACCAAGCAAAATTCACGATGATTCTATGGAATCTCTGGAACGAACGAAATAATCATTTGTTCAACAAGAAGAAGGCGGAAGAGTGGGAAATCATGGGAAAGGCCCTATCCTATCATGAAGAATTCCTATCTGCCAGGCACAAGGAGGAGGGAAGAGGGAAGCTGTACCTGTGAAATGGAAGATACCGCCGGCGGGCACTGTGAAAATAAATGTTGATGCGACCGTCTTTGAGGGAGAAGGAACTGGAGCTGGGGTGGTCATGAGGGACTGGAACGAACTATGCTTGATTGCAGCGGTTCGCCGGGATCAGAGGCAGTGGAGGCCAGAAATTGCCGAGCTCCAGGCCATCGATTTCGCATTGGAAGTAGTGGAAATGAAGGGTTTTGCGACGGTGGAGATAGAGTCAGACTGTTTGGAGGCCATCTCAAAGCTCAATGGTGACGTGGATGCCCTGACGGAAGAAGGGGAACTCAGTGCAGAAATTAGGGCCAGGCCCATCTTTTGGGCCAGATCAAATGGAGTTTTGTTAGGAGAGAATGTAATGCAGTAGCCCATGCTATGACCCACTTTGGGTGTAGATGAGATACCCATGAATTTTGGGAAGAGAGGCCCCCTCTACCTTTACTACCGCTGTTGGAAGTGGATTGTAATCTAGATGCTTAAGCAATAAAATCTCTACCAGCTTCCTATATATAAAAAAAAACTAGCCTATTACCCGGCCCGTTGGCCGGATTACTGTATGTTACCCACTTGTGGAATAGGAGAGAAAGCAAGTGAGAGTGAAGGGATTGGGATTCCACTTGATTAGAACCGACCCACTAATTCGATTCTTCCCGACCCGCCCCAACCTAAAGGGTCAGAAAGAGTCAATAAGAAAATACGAACGGAGAGGATTAGTCATATTCGTATATCTTGACTCTTCAGAAGTGGGTCAAACAGGATCAAGGTTGGGTGAGGGAAATTTTTAGCGCTAAGCATAGTTCTGGGTTGAATAACTTTACTTAGGCCTAGAAATTGGTGTTGATGCAGACTGCAGTTTTTATTATACCATCATCAATCATCATTGAATTAGTCCTGTGCATCCCTCCCCGTTGTCGGTATGAATTCTAATGATGGCTTCGTTCCTTGCACCAGCCTTATCAGCGAGTTGTCATCTCGAGCATGATTTGCCTATGTACAAATGATACAATTAGAGTATGAAACTGAATTCAAAGAAAATGAAAAGAGATTTCTATCACATGCCAATAAATACACACATAATAGTTGAAGCTAAGTGAAAGTCATTACTCGCACATCAATTCTCAAAAATTACAAACTAAACAATGGCTAGAATGGCACTGAAACTACCAAGAACATGGACGAAACAACTTGTCAAATTAAATAATCCTTATACTGAAACTACCTTCTAACTTGAAATAAGACATGATCACAGTTCATAGCTCTCTTCTCACTATGAATTGATTGCAGCTCGTCCTTATCACTGCCTCCCAAGCTCAATTCAAACAGAATAGAGACCGTTATGTAAGATAACCATATCCTTAGTGATCATAATTCCTTTCTTCACTCCATTTTTGTCAAAGAAAAGAGTTACCCCCCTCTCCTGCATTTCCCTTTCCCTTTCCCTCTCTCTTCTCCCTCTTCTTCACAAACTGATCCCTAAACCAGCAACAACAACACAAAAATAGCCTTCGCCTCTGCCATCTCCATCTACTGAACGCGTTGGTGGCAAGACAGGACTGCAGAAGCAAAATTTTCTAAATTCAAACTAAATTTTTTGAAGGAGACTCAACCACGAAAAAATAGTAAAGCAACAATGCTAATAGTTCAGATGGTTGGTTTTGATGCTATACATTGCTTTTGTTCTGGTCTCTAGTATATCAACTGCAATAGAGATGTTTCCTCCAATCATCTTTAGTGCACGATTTAGAAGCAAGTTCTCCTGTTTGTGTCAAACGGAAACATTTATGGGTTTTTAACTCCCCTGTTAGTGTAAAAGCAGCACCAGCAACAAAGAAGTTTGACAACACAGCAAGCACCCAGGCAAAATGATACAATGCAGTAGGTGATATGTGTCTCAAAGGTTTTGAGTTACTAAAGTTCATGTTAAAAATAAACATGAATTAAAATGGATTATTCTATTAAGCAAACATCCCCTCCAATCATACAAAGATCAGATATCCAATTCACAAACAATTAAGCCATAAAAAATCATCACACATCCACCACCTTTGATTGCCTAAATTTGGTTTTTCGCAAAAGTTATGTACTCTTAAGGGAAACGTTAATGGGTAGTCTGTTTCATAACTCTAGAGAGCACAGTAAGCAGCCACCAGCCAGACACAGTGCGGTAGGCAAATATGATTCTCAATTCACAATTTCTCACCACCGGAAGTAAGAACATACCATAATAAGCGTAGCGTTCATGGGTGGTCTGTTTCATAGCACTACTACACAATTTGTTAAAAAGGAAAGAAAGGTATTTAGCACCACGGCGGAACAACTTTTACAGGCCAACAACGACAACATGCTGCAACCACCAGAACTGGTATCACAACTCATAGGGAAAATCAAAAGATTTACTCTCAAATTAAGCAGTTACAACATCGAGCAATTGTCAAGCACATACACCATCACAAAAGTCACGGAACCTGATTCACAAAGCATTAAAACATTTGAGGACATTTCTGCAAAGGTACAACTTATATGTCTTTTTTCCAAGCCATTTCCATCAAAATGCTAATAAATTTGCAATGCATAAAACAAACGGGCCAAAACTTGAAATTCAGCCTGTTTGACGACCCATGCCAAATTCTAATTATTCTTTACTTTTAAACTTTCTATTTGAAAATAAAAAATAGTGAAAGAAAAGAGACGACTACAATTCGCCATTTGCACATCACTTATTCGGGAATAAAACCATAGAAATTCAAAAGGAACTGAAAATGTTTAGGATCGTTATAATGTTTAAAATAACCAAATAGATCTTTATGTTTAATTTTTTACTAAAAAATACCAAACGATTCCCTATAAAATACACTATAATTTGATCATTATGATATCAAATAATTATAAAATATATATTTGAAATGATAAAAATTGGACTAATTGTGTTGTTCGAGGTTGAACCATTGAATAACTTTAAAATACATTATATTTTAGCCACTAAGATATAAAATAATAGCATAATATATATTATGTCAGAGAAATTAGCTTATTTTAGAATGACAAACCAATGATGTTCATTTATTTTACTTGATGGCCAAATCCCATGTAGGTCAGGCACATTCAACTCTTTTATTTTATGGTTGGCGGTTAGCCCATTAGATACCATGCATTAGTTTATTGTTAAATGTTTTATTTTTAACAATAAAAAGGAGTATTATTTTTACCTTTTCATATATATTTGTCACCACGGAGAAATAAAAGGGCTTAAAGAAAAAAAATTGACACTCCTGGACCCGTTTAAATTCACATGTGTACGGTAAGTTGGCCCGTTCCACAGAGGAGAGAAAAAAAATTGACACTCCCTATCTACCCTTCCTACAAACGCTCATGGAGCAGGAAATTTGAAATGGGGAAAAGGTTTTTTTCCTCCCTGCTATTATATGTTTTTAATTTAAAAAGATACAACAAATGTGCTTAGTGTGATTGGTTATTATCCTTGCTTTTTTTTAAAATGGTCATGGTTCGAATCCCAATATGTGTCTTTTTAATGAATAAAAAAAAGTAATTGTGAAGACCAAAATGTCCTTCCTACTTTCACTCTCATTGCAGGAAATTTGAAATGGAACTCCCGTTTTTCTCTTCGGCGTATTATATTATGTGTAGACTAGTAACTACCACAGTACCACTTATAGAGCTTTCTTCTTTTTTCCGTACCATGCAAGCATTGTGGGCTGGACCTTGAAATCAGGCCCATTTATAGATTTGATTCGATCCAATTTAGCCGCTGACATTTTTCAGCTCTTTCCTATCAGATCCCGTTATTCAATCTCCTCCGTTGCCGGGAGACAAGCAAAAGATGGACGGCTGGAGATGATTAATTCACTGCACAAAAGGCAATTTGAATTTCAAATCGGATCCATCTATTTATTATAAAATAAAAAATTAATATTATTAATTTGAGATGGAGCGAAGAGCGCCTTTTTTCCTCAAAACGCTCCTTTATTCGGCTTAATTAATTAAAAAAAAAAAACCTGAAACAGGCGAAACCCTCCCTCATTACTCGCCCCTCCTCCCGAAGATTCAAAAGGCAGCCAAAAAAATCTACACCCATCTCCTTCCCTCCAAGAGAGAATCGAAAATTTTCCCAGGCTTGATAATTTTCCCGAGAAAAGTTTCCTGCATCGCCGGCCGTCGACATTCCACCCCCCTCCACCGCGGCTTCTCCGCCTGTGATTTGTTCTGTTTTCCAGGTACCTGAGACGATGTACTTCCTCCCTTTTTGTTGTTTCTGTTTTAACCTTAACGGAGGAAAATGTGGAGAGCTATGAACTGGGCTGATATCAGGTTTCCCTCCAATTTTCTCTGTGTTGTTGCTTTTTCTGGCTGTTGTATGGATTAGGCTTAAGGGTGGAGCTCAATTTAGAAACAAATTGTAGCTTGATTATTTGGTAGGTTCTTTGTTCTACGTTATGTAGGTTCGGATTTGTGAGGGTATTTTATGAACTTGCCATGTTTGATGGTTAGCAGTTGGGCGGGTTTGATTTTGTTCCCATTTTTGGAGCTGTCCGGATTGAATTTGATGTAATTTCTGGTTATGGGAAGGACTGGAACTAGCGAGCGTCAATTAGGGCTGAGTTTCCTCTTTAACGATCTCGAGAACTTGTTCCTAGCATGGTGGGGTTTTGGCTACAGTTTCCGTGGCTGAATTCATCCAGGGTTATAAGCTCTAGTTCTCTCTTCGATAACAATAGCTATGGTGGAATTGTGGTGACCGGGAGTTTTTTTTTTGGTGTAAGGTGGATCAAATATGTTCTTAGTTGTATAAGCTTTGCCATAATTTATGACGAATTTAGCCGTTTTTTTTTTCCGGACGAACTACCTAAATTGGCTCCATTGTGGAAATCTCATCCTGGTTTGTCATAGCTCCATGAAACTTGCTTCTACAGTTTAGCTGATTTTCACCTTGCGTAATTGGTCTGGAGGTTTATGCTCAATATTTATATTGTCCTGTGAAAAAATAGCCACAGTGCATAGCTTGTTGCATATTTTTGGGTGATAATATGCCTCATAGGGGTATAGAAGCTTATTCTGTTAATCACTCTGATCATCATAAACTAAACATGTCTAGTATTTCGTTGCTTGGTTGTTGATTGGCAGTTATAGGTCCACAAAATGTCAGTTGTCAAGAATGGTCCGTTAGGTCAGGCTGAGACAACTTGTGGATCCCTTTTAAACGAGTTGCAGGTTTGTAAACTCTCATGATTGAATCAGTGGTCTCCTGTTCACTGTTGCTCGCTTTTGTGTACGTATAGTCAAGGAATTTATTGCTTTATTGATTCATGCCAACAATCAGATCATCTGGGATGAAGTTGGCGAGTCTGATACCGATCGGGATAAGATGCTATATGAACTTGAGCAAGAATGTCTCGAAGTATACAGAAGAAAGGTGGATAAGGCAAACCGGAATAGAGCTCAGCTAAGACAGGCAATTGCTGACTCCGAAGCTGAGCTTGCAGCAATATGTTCTTCAATGGGAGAGCGACCAGTACACATTAGGCAGGTTAGAATGAAGGAACAGTGGATTATTTCTCAATCTAATCTGTATTTTTCTTTCTGCTATTTTCTTGAAAAAGCTATTCATATGCAAACTACTTTCTCAAGTATTATGGCTGCTACTTTCTCAAGTATTATGCCTGAGCAGTCTTTACACTTTTCTCTTCTTGCTTTAATGTCATTCTGTTATTTCAGCATTGTTCTTATTGCTTGCATAAATCAAGATATTAAATTGAATTTATTTATTCTCCATTTGTAAATGATTGCAGGCTGATCAAAGCACTGGAAGCCTGAAGGCAGAACTGGGAACAATTCTCCCACAACTTGAGGAGATGCGTAAGCGGAAGGTTGACAGAAGAAATCAGTTTCTTCAAGTTCTTGAAGAGATCCAGCACATTTCAAATGAAATAAATGAAATAGCTGATGGTGCTTCTGTAGATGAAAGTGACTTGTCCCTGAGGAAGCTGGAAGAGTTGCACAGAAAGCTCCATGCACTTCAAACTGAGAAGGTGGGTAAAGGAGCTCCCGTGTGTTATAAAGTTCTTATATGCAATGTTATCTGGTTACTGATTTACCTGTCCCTTTGCAGAATGATCGCTTGAAGCAGGTTCAGGAGGCTCTAGATACCATAAACTCATTTTGTGTAGTGCTTGGTATGGAGTTCGAGCAAACAGTTGCTGAGATTCATCCACAATTCGGCAGTGCCGATGTATCAAAGAGAATAAGTAACGAATCCATCAAATGTTTAGCAACTGCAATTCATAGATTGCGAGAGGTGAAATTACAAAGAATGCAGAAGGTAATGTCACTTAGGTCTGTTGTGTATACTTCAGCCAAATGATGAACTGTGTTAGCTGAAACTATACCATTTCTTTTTGGCAGCTTCAAGATCTTGCGACTGCTATGTTGGAGCTGTGGAACTTGATGGATACCCCTATAGAAGAGCAGCAAGCATTTCAGAATGTAACATGCAATATAGCTGCTGCAGAACATGAGATAACTGAACCAAACACCCTCTCTATGGACTTCCTCAATTTTGTGAGTTTCAGAATTTACAATTTTCTTGTCTGTTCTGTTGGTATTGTTTGATGTTCTAGATATCTAAACATGATTACAATTTACACATGTAGGTTGCAGCAGAAGTCTCCCGATTGGAAGAGTTGAAAGTTAGCAAGATGAGGGAGCTAGTTCTGAAAAAGAGGGCAGAGCTGGATGAAGTCTGTAAGAAGACACATATGGTCCCCGAAGCAAATGTAGCAATAGATTGTGCAATTGAAGCCATAGAGTCTGGTAACCAGCTGGCTCCCAAGTAGGGGTCTCAAATACATATCTATATATAAATGCTAAAGAAAATGTCTGTAACATATCTTATTCAGGACAAGTAGACCCTGGAAGTCTCTTGGAGCAGATTGAATTTCAAGTGGCTAATGTGAAGGAAGAAGCTTTTAGCAGGAAGGAAATTCTTGACAAGGTTGAGAAATGGAAAGCTGCATGTGAGGAGGAATCCTGGCTTGAAGAATATAATAGGGTAAGTGTCAAATTGGCTCCTTTCTTGTTCACTCTTCTTTTCTTCCTTGGTCGCTTGCTTACATCGGTTTATGTTGTATAGGATGATAATAGATACAATGCTGGAAGAGGCACTCATTTAATTCTCAAGCGTGCTGAGAAAGCTCGTACTTTAGTCACGAAAATTCCAGGTAAACACTTTTTTATTAGAGTTCCTAATGTTACACCAATTCAGAACAGTGCTCTGTTCCAAAACTTTTGTTAGAGATCTTGTTGACAGTACAGTGTCAGGCAGCTGTACAATTTAGATAGCCTCCTTCCCAATTTTGTGACTTCTCTGTGCATTGTCTGCAGGCATGGTGGAGGTTTTGGCTTCAAAAACAATGGCATGGGAAAAAGAGAGGAGCATAGAATTCTTATATGATGGTGTAAGTTCCATGTTCCTTATGTTCTATATATAGAAGTCAATATCGCAAAGGTGGTTGATTCTAGTACTGCCTCCTCAGTGGCTAGTCATAGCTAATCTGTTTCCCAAATGCTCTTCATTCAGATTCGCCTTCTTTCCATGCTCGAAGAGTACAGCATACTAAAACAAGAGAAAGAGGAAGAAAAACGTAGGCAGCGGGTATGAATCTGACAGTTTATTCCCTGGATTTCTTTGCAACAGTGTGTCTGCTGAATATTGTGTATAGTGAGGCTGTATTTTCTTTACTATGCTGATCACTTTTGGAACTTTGCATTGCTTTTCCACTATAGGATCAAAAGAAGCTGCAGGGACAACTAATAGCAGAACAAGAGGCTCTCTATGGATCAAAACCAAGTCCATCCAAGAACCTAAGCATGAAAAAGGGCTCGCGAGTTTCAACAGGAGGTGCAACCAATCGAAGACTGTCCGTTGGAGGAGCAATGCCACAAACTCCAAAACTCGACAAGACCCTCTCTAGCAGAACATTGAATTGCCGGTCTGCCAAGAAGATCAACAACCACAATGACTCCCTAAGTCAGTATCACGATGATACGTTCTCTAACTTATCTGCTGGTTAGTAGTCTTGGGAAAAGTTATATTTGGGCGAAAAAGTTTGATCAATTGGGTTTTATTCACTAAACATGTTTTCATTTTCACTTCTTCCTCATTGCTGAAGATGATATTAGTGAAACCGACTTCTAACGGCTCACCAATCTTCATCGGGTTCAGCATAAATCTTCACCTGGGTTCTTCATTCACAGTTTTCTCGTTGTTGAAGTAGGTCCTCTCCTTTTAAAACATTAATTCAGTCAAATGGCCTGTTCTTTGCAAATCAACATTTTGAAAGCTTAACTCTAAACAATAGTTGTGATGGTAAGAGTTAGTTTACTAGTTTCGGCATGCAGTATTACTTGGTTTGTTTGTTTTACCTGGTAGACCATATCATTTGAGATTAGTTTTGCTTCAAAATATTTTTTGCAGGTAGGAGAGGTCTGGATATAGCTGGTCTACCCATGAAAGCTCAGTCATTTGGCACTGCAAATGGCCGAGAACCAGATCCAGCAATGCTGCTGCGCAAGCCATTTTCGCCCATCTCTACCACAAAATCATCCAAAGCTAATTTGGTAGAAGAGGCAGCCAGAGCAGCTCATGGATGTGCATTCAAGAAGAATGACCAGTTGTTAATGACTCCTTCAAAGACCACTACCACAACCACTGCTTACCTTGCTGAGGAAGAAAACAGAACTCCTAGGGTACTACCACTGTCTGCCATGACACCCTCCACGGTGTCAGTACCGATGCAAACAGCCATGACTCCAGCAGCGCCAGTTCATTTTGGTGGTTTCAAGTCAGTGGTTGAAGAGACGGTTGCTGAAGAAATCGAGTACTCATTTGAAGAGAGGAGAGCTGGGTTCGTTCTTCCTCACACGGCACATGTGAAGTCACTGATTCCAGTTTGATTAAAAATTAGGTTCCCTTTTAGGTAGTGAAGACTCGGCTTTATCTGCCTTTATAGACTTGCTTGGCGTGTGCAAGTTAAGATTGTAACTGGTTTCGGGATAGTGTATACTAATCCACAAGAAATGTGGACGAGGACCAGACCCTGTGGTCTGTGGAAATGCGAGTTTCCTTCAATGCTAGTTGAATCTGTTGTTAAAGAAGAGAATTAAAAGTTAAAACAATATGGCATTGGCGGCATGTTTGTCTGCGGAAGAGAGACATTTTTATTGGGCGTTGTGAAGAAAGTAGCAAAGGAAAAAGGAGTTGCAGAAGAAGGAGAAGAAGTCAAGAAAACGACGAAGGAAAAGATGGGTTCTTTTGTATAAAGCGATTCGCTAGTTAACTTCTCAGTCGCACTCCGGTCCTTATTAACTTCTTCAAGATCAAGGCTTTTGGAAATTATGGCACAAAATAATGAAGGGGGGGGGGGGGGGGGAATTATTATATTTTTATCGGAAATGGGAAAGAAAACGGAGCTGGAAAGGGGGATAAAAGTAAAACACTGGGAAAATTGAAATTTACTCAACGACCCCAGAAAGGATGAATGACTCACTGAACTGAAGACTCCATTTGACCATTTTGTGTCAACTTCCATGGTCTACCGCCTGTTTTGCCTTTTGAAAATCCTACATCTTGTACTAGTAATGCTATGAGAAGAGGTAGTTGGATCTTTGATGATCGATTAAGGCTGGAATTGGATGAATGTAGGAAGAAAATGGACCCAGACGGCGATCCACTGGGCCTTCCTGGAAAGCCAATGGGCGTTAGTGGGTCCAAAGAAAGCGTATCACAAACTGGGCCTCCTTCCTGAGAAGGAAAAAGAAAAGCGAAAAGGAACTCGCCCAGTTGAAGCGGGAGCGACTGAGACCAGGCGATTATCGGGCGAAGCTGATTTCCACTTTCCAGTTCAAAGAATTCGTGCCGCTCGGTCGTCCGCCAGTGGAAGTCGGAAACTCCTGCGGCATAGAAGAGAGCAATGGATAAGAAGAAGGCGTTCTACAGAGCTAAATTGAATGCTCAGAAGAAGGACAAACGAATCGATTCTCCTCTCGTCAGGTAACCCCGCCACCCGAAAATCTCCTTCACTTTTCGCTTTTGCGCTCTGCGGAGAAAGGAAACCCTAGGAATGGTCGCTGCTACGTTTCTGGCCCGGTGCTGTGGTATGCCGGAGAATTTGATCGGTTGCCGCTAGTTTCCTAGTAGTTTATCGTGGATTGTTATTGTTACTGTTGAATGGTCAGCTTAGCAGTATTAGTTTCGGATCGTCGTCAATGGTCCTTGACTGAATTTTAGACTTTGGCGTTGAGTATAGCGTTGCTTCTGCTCATCTTTTTCTTTTCGTTGCGCTACCTGGTGCTTATAGCTGGTTCGTTTTGCTCTATTGCTCAGGTATAATGAATCCGATCAACCAGTTTGTAGGGTTTGCAATCTTGTTTTGAAGGAGTCTCAGTGGGATGCACATCAAGCTTCTCGCAAACATCGTGAGGTCATGTCTCAGTTTTCCCCATGTGACTTTGCGTCTAATTGTGCTGGTGTACGGTTATGGAATACTGTAACTAGGCTTGCTAGAAAGTTTTTAGTGGCTTTTATCTATAGGCATCAGCATGAAATGACTGCCAGATTAAGGATCATCAGTGTGTAGTATGTCAGTTGTCTCTTCTTAGTTACTGAAATTGATTAGGTGGAATGTGATTAAACAACAGGCGATAGATAATCTGAAGGCTAATGCAGCTCGAAAGACCGACACAACCAATTCAGAGCCTGTACCTCGTGTTGAATCAAACAGATCTGCATCCGCAAACAATGCAGAGTTGCATGCTGCTACTGTGCAAGCTGAGCCACCAACAAAAGTGTCAAAGCCACAGTCGTCATCTGCACTCCCTCCGGGTTTTTTTGACAATAATGGGACCAAGGCACACAAAACTGGTACTATAGCTTCTCTGCTTAACATAAAGTTTAGTGGAATATTAGAGAAGCAAGATGAATGTATTTGAATTCTTTTACTAGTAGCCAATGAATGTTTAAATTTTTGTCCCAAACTTGGAACTGAGAATCGCTTAATTACAGACTCATACACTGAAAATTTGATGAGCGAGGGTATTGGAGATAATGCCTTGCCTGGTTTCCTAAGACATCCTACAGTTCCCATCTATAACAAAATTCAGTTGCTGTCTTATAGTTCTTATTTAAATGCAAGAAAGAGGGTACTGCTAACCCCTTGTACTGAACTTTTCGATTTGTTCTCTAAATCTGACCCGCTCTTATGGATGAACTATGAGCTACCTGTTGGACATAGTTTTTTATCTGTGACTTGAGCGTCGTATTTACCAAATTTTGGAGACGTCTGTCATTTCTTCTGATTGTAAACATTATTTGGGTTCTATATAAAATTAGGTTGGTGAGATTTAAACAAATCCGAAATTCATTTTCAGATCCACAAACAAAGTTGGGTGGCTCTCTTAAACCGAAGAAAGTCGAGTCTCTTGTGGAAGATAAATCAGAAGCTTTACCTACTGTTAGTGGTTCACAACAGCTAACTGCTGAGGAAGGTAGGGCTTATGTACAGACACAAACAAATGCCACTGATACAGAAATCAAGCAGGTGAAGGGGTCTCTTCCTGAAGGTTTCTTTGACAACAAGGAAGCTGATTTACATGCTCGTGGGATAAAGATTGTCAAGCCTGATGTTAAGTGAGTTTGCTTTTAACTAGTGTTTGATGTTTTTCTTTCCTAGAAGGATGTAAGTAGAAAGTATTGCTTGTTTGTTGCCAACACTATCCGTCTGATATTGAGTTTTTATATTAATTCTTGTCAGTGATGAGTATAAAGAATTTGAGAAACTGATCCAAGAAGACGTGCGGGAGGTTGATGACCGCTTGGAGGAAGAGGAGGTCAGAACTGTTCACTTCAGATTGTCATTATGTACAATAAACTAACAATTTTAAGCCCCTCAACGTCCCTTGTAAATGGTCCAATGTCTCTAATTGCAGTTCGACGCTGCTGAAAAGATTGAAGAAGCCGAGTCTGTTGAGCAGAAGTGAGTTCATTTCATTAATTGCCCAAGTTCAATGCTGGCTCTTTTGTCTTAAAACCTTCTTGTACCTTCGTACTCTTCTATCTCACACGATACCTTGCATATCAGGGTCTATATGCAAAAGGTGGAACAATTGAAGAGGAAGAAAATGGAGCTGATGGCTGCCAAGTCAGCCAAACGTGTCAAAGGCAGGGATTCTCAGGTTGCCAAGAAGGGATCCACCAATGAGGACACATCCAGTGACAGTGACGATGATGAAGATTTCACGGTCGATTGGAGGGCTCAACATTTATGAAGAAAGATTTAGATCAAGTGATTTTTCACGGGTAGCCTAGCATAACTGTTTCCTTCTTTAGCCAAGACAAGTAACGCTACTTGCACCAAGCTGACTTGCTCCCCCTGGCAACAGGTGGTTCTCAACTGTTAGAGCATTTCATTTTCTTGGGAAACTCTGTCATGCACTCATGCTGAAGTATCGTTGCGTTATTTGAAGGTACATTTCTTCTTTTTCCCTCGGTTGTGAACCACGTTACCTACTAACATAGACTAGCTGCCTGCCTTTTGTTACTAATGAGCCAAAAATGAGAGAAAAGAGTGCACTTTTTTGTTACAGCACTCCCAAAAGTTTGATTCTCTATTAACGAGATAAGGAATTGGATAATGTAATTATATCGAGGTGTTTTGTTAGTTGTATGCAGGAAAAGATGATTAAAGATTTAGAAACACATCATGCCATGGGGCCTGAACCCGTGTGTGACAAGGTGCAAGGTGAGTCATCAATTTTGTAGTGAGCTTCAGGTAATGGTGTGCACTTCACTTAATTATTATTAATTAGCTGCAACTCAACTAGCCAGAATTCTGAGAGGAAATGGTTCAGTACTCGTATTGGCTTTCCTAGACTGGACTGGTGTGCATCACTTTTCCACTAGGGCATGGAGATTGTGACTGTTAGTCTGTTACGTTATCTTGGCTTCACCCTCCTTAAGTGTGGTCCAATCCAATGTTTGATGATCATGGTTTTAAGCTAGAACCCGAGTTGTGTGTCTTGAGTTAATTATGACGGAGTCGGAACTATGATCGAGTCATAGATTGTGGTAATCAAAGTTTACTCTCGTTCGGAGAGTCAGAGTTGTGATCAAATCATAGATTATGGTAATTAGAATTTATCCTCTCTCTCGGGGTCTTAGGCGGAAAAACTCGGACGTCTGAGTTATAATCGAGTCAGATATCATGGTAATCAAAATTTACCCTCGCCTGAGTACTTCGTCATAGGAAACAAACTTCATTGTCTATTCAGTTTAGGAAAAGTCAATCCCATAAGTTCAGGCAGCCCCTAGAACAGTGCGGAACATAGGATTGGAGGTGGTGGTGAGTCATGTCCTAGTCAGCTAGCTTAAGTTCTTTCCTAGGTAACATATATATTATTATAATCACACATTAAACCCCACGAATCTTCGATTCAAGAGTGTACTGTACACAATTTCCCAAGTCATCAAGTGGATGTTTGACGTCAAAGTCAGAAACTAACATCGCAAACACTTGGATGTTTTTTTTATTATCCAGTCTACTTGGATCGAGGAAGCATGTTGTTAGGAAACCTTTTAAAAAAACCTATGGTTCTCATCTGCATGGTTCTCATCTGCCTATTAGGATAGATGGCATTGCTTATCACACAGACTAATTTAGTATATTAACCTCCTAATGCGAATTGTTTATCTCTAGTTTGGGCAAAAGCTGCTTATCTTCACTCCTAATGCGAATTGTTTATCAAGTCTACTGCCAACGAATACTACTACTGTACAGTACTAATGACAAGTCCATATTCATGTATTAAAATTTCGGTCTATTTTGGTTACTAATGGTAAGTATATGTTATTGATGACTCACATGTCAGGGATTCACATATATGTTGTGAATCCTGCGTTTTACCTCTCAACATGGGTCTCATTAATAAAACTCAGTCTTAACAAACGTGAAATCAAAATTGGTGGTGGATGTGAGATCGGGTGTCGAATAGTGGAGCAAAACAAACAAACAAAAAAGATATTGTGCATATCATGAAAGTGAGACATCAATGACATGCTTAATTACTAACCATACATTGATCTTATCTAAAATATGGATGAAATTAGTCACCAACACCTATGGGCTATGGATCAGTAACTTGTTATGAACAATCGATCGATGTACAAGGATGAGTCTGTTAAAAATGACACATTATATGAGTTTAAGGTCACTAACCCAATAATAACTGTCAGAACAAAATCGTGCAATCGATAATCTAGATGAACACAAACAAACACGAATTTAACGTGGTTCACTAACACAATGTGTGCTAGCTAATTCACGGGTAGGAGATAACAAATTTCACTGATTTGAGGAGAGTATAGGTTACAAATCAAATTCCAAACGTACAAACCAAACAAACTAACCCGACTGACCTTACTACATATTAGGGTGGTGAAGAGTATTTATAGAACTTTTATCATAATCCCAAACAGAAAGCCAAACACCTTTCCCAAACATACAAGGAAAATGGCAAAACAAAGTCCAAACCCAAACAAAATAGGTCCAAAACACCAAACAAACCCAAATCAAATTCAAGTCATATCCTAACAATCTACACCTTGACTTGAATTCTCTGTTAAATACCAAATGTACCAGACGCAACCAAAGTTGCTAGATGTACCCAGACGCGATACATATTGCCAAATTTACCCAGATGCGATCGAAACCGCCAAACTCAAATGCGATGCAAATCATCAAACTCAGATGCAATCAAAATTAGCAGACGTACCAAACTCCTCCAAATCAGCTGTACCAGAATTCCCCTGCCTCCAAATGCCTGTAAGGGCGGTTAACAAATCAAAACATGCAGCAAGTCCAACCCACTTGGTGTTATTTCCGTGCATAACACCAACATCAAATTTACTGCTAACTCCAAGCCTGCAACTTCAAATTGACTTCTCGATCTTCAAATCCATAACAAACATCCTTGATTATTGAAAACCCTAACCCCAACCAACTAAAATTCCAAAACAAACCAAAGCGCATCAAATTGGTACAACCTTCAAAGAATTCCAAACGACGAAAAAAACAACCAAAGTTTCGCAACAAATTCCAACCGGCGCAACTCTTCCAGTTGTAACCCAACTCAATTGTGTAGCATTTGCTTGTTCCCTCGCAAATTCCAAATTCCAAAGCAACAGGCAGAGCACAATTTGATCCCACCAAATCACGCTTACAAAAACAATCAATTAATGATCCAATTCAGATAATTAGAGGAACAACTCCTCTCCTATGTGTTGCGGAACACAATAATCCCACAATTTCTTTCGAGCCCCAATTAGCTTCGCCACTAATACCAAATCGCCAAATTTCAATTTTTCTCGACCCCGCAACAAATTCAAAAGGAAACAAACAAGAATCCACCACAAACCAAATTGGAGAAAACCTGAAGGGTTCCTCAGCCAACCGAAAATCGAAGACTACCTCCTGATACTGCGACAGTCACCACGATCCTTAGCCGATTGACCAGGATCTGATACCACTTGAAAGAACTGAATCGTGCAATCGATAATCCAGATGACACAAACGAACACGAATTTAACGTGGTTCACTAACACAATGTGTGCTAGCTAATCCACGGGCAGGGGGAGAACAAATTTCACTGATTTGAGGAGAGTGCAGGTTACAAACCAAATTCCAAACGGACAAACCAAACAAACTAACCCGATTGACCTTACTACAGATTAGGGTGGTGAAGAGTATTTATAGAACTCTTCTCTTAATCCCAAACAAAAAACCAAACAACTTGTCCAAACATACAAGGAAAAGGGCAAAACAAAGCCCAAACACAAACCCAAACAAAATAGACCCAAAACACTAAACAAACCCAAATCAAATTCAAGTCATAGTTTAATTAACAATAACTAATAAGTTCGGTAGTCCACAATGGCATGACCACGAAGCACATGAAGGTATAACTAATTAATCAAATCTTAAAGCAAATACATGTGATTTTAAAAGGGTCCTTATTGGTTACTAGGTGCCGTATGTCGTAACTCGTAACCCACTGGATCTGCACCAATGATAAATCACTTATTATTGCTCCTTTGCCAGGCTTAACCATTTGTTTATTAGTCTTGGATCCATATTTCAAAACTTGGCGCCCATTCATCCCTAGAAGAGGCACATACTCCAGTTGGTATTTGAACTTCATACAGTCTACACTGACTTATATTCAGTGAGCTACCTAGCTAGTGTGGTAATATGTAAGATAGATTTGTATTCGGTGATCAAAGGACATTACACCCCTAAAATTGGCACATAGATAGTATAGCAACAAATCCCTTCCTACACGGTGCGGCTCCAACCCACAATTTGGAAATTTTCATAGTTAATTGATAGGTTTTCAATCTTAAACTATACGTTGATTTACTCTGTGAATCGTTGTGCATGTTACCTCACACACGATCAACATATATGCACTCCAAAAATACATATAATTGACATGCTAACTGCTAAGTAATTTAGTGTCCTCTGATCCTTAATGGTTGTTTAATGAATTAGCTGTGGGGTACGGATGGGGATGGATCACTCAGTGCTTATTTGCATACCATTAACAGCCACTAAACAGCAAAACAAATTGTTCCTAATTTTTAGACCCTCAAAGTTCATCAATATAATTAGCTAGTGGACAGAAATTAAAGCGTGGTTCAAGAACTAATCATTTTTTCCAGAGTATAAGCAACTTGATGAGTTAGCTTATTTGGAGTGCCTCTAATGGAGTCTCGTGGGTGGTGACGACTTCATGAGAATGTGGGATTACCAACATTAGCAATGAGCCCTTCTTTGTTTCTATTCCTTTTGTGGTTATAAGTGGTCGCTACCATTAGAAACAAGAAGCCAAAGCTAGTTGGTTTTGTGGGTTTAAACAATAGATGAATGTATGGATTATACTAGCTAGCTAGTTTTTATATATGATAACCTAACACCTTGTTGAATCAATGCACATCGGTGATTCTGCGTTTGAGGTTCGATGATAGCGTGTATACATGATTATGGTTGGTGTGAAGAGACAAGCACATCGGTTTTTAAGTGGTTGTGTTAAAAAAATGTTTTCCTAACGATCAATATATGTAGAAGGAAATTAGAAAGAGAGAAACTATCTAGTTACCAATATTTGTTGTCCCTTCATCAGTATGAGGCTATGGTTAAGGAGTACGTATTCCATCATCTCATCATATCCATAGAAATTCCCTGTAAACCCTAACCATGCATGCAGATGGACAAGACCATGCATTAATGTAACCTTATGCCACGTTATCTCGTCTCTAATAAAACATTTGAACATTACCAATCAATCTTAATAATACATGCATTCCTTTATCGAACATGATTTTAACCAGAACTGTAGAATTCATCAAGGTCGACTATATTGGACTTCCAACACCTATTTGAATCACATACCTTTTTTTCCAAGTTACCGCCCTTGCACGCAATCTAAGTATCTAACCTAAGATGATAAGAATTGACATGTTTAGAAGCTGGCGCAAGTTGGTTCAACCATATTTATTATAGTGCATCAGTCACTGCCCCAGCCCCCAGGCTGTGTACAACTGCAACTAGGAGGAATGAACGGCCGAGAAACATACAACTGACGAATTAAGAGAGACCCATCTTTTTTACAAGTACATATTATAATCAATCCTTAAGCTTAATTACGTGAAAAATCATGTAACTAATAGTGAAAGAAAGCTGGGTCTTAATCGAACCAGCTGATTCATCATCTTATCTTATTAACATTACAAACGCAATCGAAGTCAACCCTAAAAACCCTTAATCACCTAGCCGTCGTTTTAATTAAAGTTTACGAGGTTAATTAACACGATTGAGCTAATACAGATACATGTCAACTTATTAACAGCACGTGTTGCATGCACGTCATTTACATATCTGGATTTGTGAATAGTACGCTTCATTGATCTGGAAGAAGTTTAAAAAAAAAACCCAGCTGAGATCTTCAACTATAAGGTACATAGTTCTATCATCGATTTCTTAGCTAGCTCCTTTGGTGAATGAGTCATTTGATCCAAAAATGTCTCATTGGACAAAATCTCTACATATTTCAATTTTTTAGGGTGATACTGATTGATGCCGCTATATATTTCAAAGAATTAGGATTTAGGATTGTATCATCATAGATCGATCATCATCAAAAAACAGCTCATCTTTTTTGCACATGTGGCTATCCCAAATTTTTTTTTTATAGCCAGAATGAGATTTATGTTTGTAAACTTGATAGTTGTCTTGATAGGAAAGTTTGCAAACTGTGTCCCTTCCTTTGTTTAATCAAATGCCTTTGATGATCAACACCTCTCGAGTTGACATTTTATTCCAATGGGAGATGTATTTTCTGATATAGATTTATGGGTGAGTAGTCTTTGAACTTGTTGTATTTGACAAGTATATCGCTTATATATATGATAATGCGAATAAAGGAAGAAAAAAAAAACAATGTTAAATCGGATGGAGAATGGATCTATTAAAGAAGTCGAGAATCTAGTCGCAATTAAAATGGTATCATTTTATTATCAAGTTTTTTCGCACGGATAAACAAAAAATTTGGCATCTCTAACTTTATCTCTTGTAATCTCTCATAATATTATTATTATTATTATTTATAATTTACAGTGATCCATTAAAAAAAATCACACTCGAGTTGAACGGTTTTTAACTAAGTGATGCAAAATCTAGACAATTTACTATAACATACAAATGACCAAGATTCAACGCATAAACAAAGAGGGATGAGTTAGCGTGGTTACTTAATTTTTAGTAATCACGGTGGCTACCTTAATCTACACCATTCATTATTTCTTTTTCACCCTAATTTTAAATTAACGATGAAGATTATATTAGGGTAATTTTGGAATTGAAAAATATACCACACCTGATTACTCTATAAATTATATTCAAACCCTACCCTACTGCAACCCGCCGCCAACCACCAAGCTCCCTCCCCCGTTACCTCCCGACGTCCCTCCTCCCTCCCGAGAACCCCCTCCACCGCCAGCCAGCCTCCCCTCCACCGCCCTCCTCCCTTCCCCTCCTCTCTCGCATAATCGTCCATCCCTAGCATGCCCCCTCTCTCTCTCCCTCTCTCTCCCAGAAGCTGTAGCACCATCAATGGACGCTCGCGTCCTAGATCAGGACCTCCCCGACGACGACGATTCCCCCGATACTTTCGAATCTTCCTCCGACGTTGCTGACGGCGAAGCTGGACAAGGCAATTCAATATGGGACGCTCGCCAATTCAATGGACAATTCCCCCCGCCAATTCAATGGACGATTCCCCCGCCAATTCGCTCGACGATTCCGCTGCCAATTCAATGGATGCTCGTGTTCCAGATTGGGACCGCCCCGACGACGACGATTCCCCCGCCACTTCGGAATCTTTCTCTGACGTTGCTGATGGCGGCGCTGGACAAGGAAATTCAATATGCTGCATCCCAGAATCTTCTTTGGTAGTGTGTGCATTACGCTTTGGTAGTTACCTGCATTCGTGTTAGTTAGATGGAGCATTATGTTTTGGTAGTTATTTGCATTTGGTTTGGTAGTGTTTGCATTATGCTTTGGTAGTTTCTTTGTATTTGTTTTGGTAGTGTTTGTATTGATTTATTTATGCAATGGTATTGTTTTGATTTCACAGTAGTAGTGGTATTGGTTGTTTTGGTATTTGTTTGACTTTTGTAATGGTATAGATTGTTTATATTGGTAGTTTTCGTATAATGGTATAAATTTATTTCTGCAATGGTATTGATGTTTTTCAAAATGGTAGTGGTTGTCTAATGGATTGGTAGTGATTTCGTGTTTTTTCTTTTGTAGAAAGATTGAAAAAAATATGAAAAAGAGATCTGGCTAGAGATTACGGAAGTGAGAGAAAAAGAAAGAATTGTAATTAATAGATTTTTGTAACTACCTAAAATGTAATTTATTAAATTTAATTAATAAATATACTTTATTTTTCCATCCTCAATTTACCCTTAGTAATCACGGTGATTACTACTAAGCTGACTCATGAGCTTGAAGTTTGCACAGGCTTGCCATACCATGTGCTTGAAAGACAACGGTTAATATTGAGAGTCGTGAGGACTTGAACACGTGACCTCAAGGACAAACCAGCTCTGATACCATGTCATAAACTAGTTGGTCCCAATAACTCGAGTTGTTGGGAAAATGTTATGTTGGATCTTATACAGGCCCATGTATGGTACTTAACCACTTCCTTACAGTTATTGCCAATTGGTGTTCTTGTTGAGAAACCAGAATACGGTGGAAACTGTTGTGTCTTATTACTGATACCACATAGGGTTTATATAAAGTACAAAAACTGACTTCTATAATAATCCTAACACTAATACAAAAATAACCTAACTTCTACAACTCTAATAAGGAATATAACTCTATCCAATTACATACTAGTACTCGTAATATAACACAATACTACTCGTACTACACATACTCTAATGCTTCTAAGTACTAGCGTTGTCATCAAAATATTGCACTAATTCGTTAGGTTCTCCATAGCTTTAGGCAACCTTTCATTTGCCTCTTTACAAACCAATGTTACTTAATTTAGTTATGCTCCCATTATAGACCCCAATCGAACTTTATGACCACATTTAGACTCCCTCTTAATGTTTTTATAAACTCCATTCACAAATGGGATTAGATGGGGCTTAGCTCCCCACCTTAACCACCATTGGTGTTCCTTTTGGGTCATTTTCTAACCATTTTAGTGTTAAAAGTATCATAGGGTTTAACAAATGAAAAACTATATAGAATTTTTGACAGATTTCTCCCCATAACAAAGATAAAAGTTAACTATTGTTTATTATTATTATTATTATTATTTATTTTGAAAATGTTAGCTAGAAGTAAATGCTAGTTGATTTAACTTGTGTTAATAGACAAATAAGTTCATCAATTAATAAAGTAAATATTTTTTAAATGATTTTAACTCCCACAAGGTTTAAAGTTAGGATATGATAGAATTTTATTCTCTCACAACACACTAGGTCCATCTCTTTTTATTTATTTATCGGAACTATGTCCATATCTTGAGGGGTCGTTTGGTTTTGGTGATAGTTAAATTGATGTATTGTCATCAATGCATGCATAATAATATACATGTATATAACAAAATTGGTGTATTGTAGTTTATACCGTTTGATTTCTGTGATAGTTAAAAGAAACACACATAAAAAGGTAGAGACATATTTGGAAGAAGAAGGAAACACAACAATCTCCTTAAAACAATCTCAACAATCTCAATGAAAACTTGAGATTTAACCATCACTTATTTTGAGTGATAGTTTATGTCAAATCAAGCAAACAATGCATGTATTGTTTACGCAGAAAATTGAAAAAAACGAAACATTGTGGACATTGCATGCATTTGTAACTATACCAACCAAACCAGGGGCGGACCGACGGGTGTTTAGGGGTGTCCCCGGACACCCCTAAATTTTGGGAAAGCGATTATCCAACCCCCGGTAGTAATTTACGTATTGACAAAAAAATTATAATTGATAGTCGGGGACACCCCTAAATTTAAAAAAGTGATTATCCTACTCTCATCTTTTAGTTTGAGTATAAGAATATAAGTAGTAGTTTGGGTAATTCAAACATAGGACACTTTTATTATTAATAAACCTAATTTTCATTAGGCTACAACTCATATGTTATTCGATTTTAAACACTGTGTAATAGTATAATGTCATTCTCTATCTCTAATTGTTTTCAAAATCTAACAATTAAACAAATTTCAAGCTACCCTTAATTTGTATTGATTTATGGTTGTACAACAAGTATTGAAAGAGTTTTTTCAGCTTTGGATTACATCAAGAACAAGTTTAGAAATTGAATATGTGATCAGTTCGTGAATGATTGTCTAATATGATATACAGAGACAATTTTTTTTTAATAGTGTACCCCCAAGTGTGTTCTACAATCATTTTTTAATATGAAAACACATTGTGAATTTTTTCAAACTGTATGAGTAAAGTATTTCTTATTTAAATATTTTTTATTAATTATTTTAGAATTATTTATATTTAATTTATTTTTTAAAAGAGGACACCCCTATGTAAAATTTCTGGGTCCGCCACTGAACCAAACTATCACCAAAACTAAACGACCCTGTGATTTAGGAGTAGTTTGGATTGGAGCTAAGGAGCATAGATTTTATTTAAGAAAAAACAGAGGTAAGCAGGATGATGCAAACGGTAAAAATGATAATTAAACCATAATTAAGTGGGAATTCCCAGAATAAATAGATAAATTTTTTTTATTTTGTTATTGGGAGACGACAGGGCGCGCGTCTATAAATTGCACGCCCGAAGATCTCGGTAGCCTAGAAAGTTGCAATCGAGTACCTTTTGTTCTTTCCCTTTCTGTTTCTCTCCTTTTCTTTCTCGGGAGAAAACATTTTCATTTCCCGATTGGTTTTCCTTTTCCAACCGTCCAAACAGCCTCCTGTGAGTTCCTGTGCAATCAAATCAAATCCTCCTTTTGTTGAATCCCCCTTCCCGCAATGCCTGCATCTCGTGAATCCTTTCATTTCCACCCAGCCTAGATTCTTCCACTCCTTTACTCATCACGAGCTGAATCTATAGTCCGCAGCCGAGTCGTGAGGAGCTTGTGATTCATTTGATCGACCATGAACGGCGGCGAGAGGCGGAAGGAGGCGGCGGCGGCGGAGGAGGAGAGAGAAGAGGAAGTCAATGAGGAGTTCGAAGTGCAGGATGTGAGGGAGAGATTGAGGTCGTCGATGGGGAGCAGATTCAATCTGATCGAAAGGCAGTTCGGTTTGAGCAGGAACGCTGGCGGCGGCGGAGGATCCAGCACGAGTAAGTTCAGCCGTCAATCTCTCATCGATGGATTCCATTACGTCTCCAAAGGTCTCGTCATTCATCCCGATAACAGGTCACTCCTCTCTCTCTCTCTCTCTCTCTCTCTCTTCTTCCCGTTTCCGTCAAATTGCCGTCAATATTTTGATCAATGATAAGTCGATTGCGATTCCGTCGGAACCGGTAAAAACAAAAGAAAATCTAGCGGCGAGTGACGTGAAATTTGGAAGATTGTCCTTAATTGTATTTACCCGTTGAAGTTTAATTAATGAAAATTAGCTTAGCAAAGGAATATGAAAATGTTGCACGTGTACGTCACTAATTTGTCAGAGATCATGACTAGGACCTCCTTCCTTTGATATTTTTTTCCTCCTGAAATGAATTTAAAAGTCGGCTTTCGATTTCATTTTCATTTTCTAGAATTTTTCACGCTTGGAATTTCATTATCTAATAATACTTTCTATACTCTTGTAATTAATGGGTCGTAATTTTTTTTTTTATATATATTTTGCTATTCGTTGAACGGGCCGCCATTCCCGCCATGTTAATTGGGGACGTGGCCTGGCCCAAGTTTTGTCTTTTAGGTTCCCCCCACGTCGTGGCAAAATCCCAGTTGCTCACCAATCTTTGTCGCTATTTCTTTGACTTCCCTCTGGCATCAATCATTCATCTTTTCTCTAATATAGTAGTGGTTTGCCTTGGCCAAGTTTTTTAACACAAGACAAGATCATAGATTTGTTAGGGGAAGGAGTGGAGCCGAGCAAAAGTTAAAAGAGTGTTGCAGCGGTAATTAAATCAGCCATTGTTTAACAATAGTAGAAGCAGACCAGTTGTTCAACAAACTTTCGTGTCATGTTTTAGTTTCTTCTCCGAGTCCTCTGGCTACTGTTTTCAAGCTCCATTGAGTTTGGTCTAACCTTCCCAGTTGTTCATATCATAGTCTCTACCTAATCCTCTTGTCCATTAATACTGTTAATGGTGCTCTGCATGCATGTGCTGGATAAGGGATAGGAGAGCACGAGCAGGTTGACTTTGAGACTTGCTACCTATTTCTCTATGGTCTCCATCGTTGTCTTATCAACACTTGCTTGCTAAGCTATGTTCCTAAAAAAGTGTACCTTTTCTTTTGCTGCAGATGGTATCGTGCATGGTCGAAGTTCATTCTGCTATGGGCAGTCTACTCATCATTCTTCACGCCCATGGAGTTCGGTTTCTTCAGGGGGTTACCTGAGAACCTCTTCATTTTGGACATTGTTGGGCAGATTGCTTTCCTTCTGGACATTGCTCTGCAGTTCTTTATTTCCTACAGAGACCCACAAACTTATCGCATGGTCTACAAGCGCACACCAATTGCTCTTCGGTCAGTTTTTTTTCTTCTTCTTCTTCCCTTCATAAAGAACTGTGTATCTATCCAAAAGTTCAAATTCTATATTATTATATATGCTATGTGAATGTTTAATTTTTTTGCTAATTGCAGTCCCTGGTTCTTAGTCTTGTTACAGGTATTTAAAGTCTCATTTTATCGTTGATGTGCTCTGTTGCATGCCTTGGGATATCATCTACAAGGTATTTGATTTGTTCTGTTTTCCTTGTAGCCATTCCATGTTTAAGCTGCCTTGTGAGCTTGCTGTTTACTGAAATAGGACCAGAATCTTCTCATTAACCATTAACTTTAGCCCTACTGTGTTTGAAATTGATAACAGCAAATTCCATGAGATGTTTGCTTGTGAATATTTGCTGTTAAACAATGAATCTCATTTGAGACTTAAGATTAGTTAATGGGGCCAGATTGAGGGGGCAAAAGATGGAATTTACTATATAGAATGTGTACCGAACTTCATTAGCAAGGGATTTGGATGAGATTTTTAACGCTGCATAGTCTTGAAATGTATAAACAGCATACTATGAGGGCACGTTTGTTAAATTTAATGCTACAACAATTTACTGGTTAAAACAAAAGAGATAAAAGATGCCCATTTAGTCGCTCTTCCTTCTTTTCATGCTCTTTGATGAATTTTCCTTTATACAGGCTTCTGGACGTAAGGAAGAAGTGAGGTATCTATTGTGGTTAAGGTTATGGCGGGTGAGGAGAGTTACAGAGTTTTTCCATAAGATGGAGAAAGACATAAGGATTAATTATCTCTTCACTAGAATTATAAAGCTCATTGCAGTGGAACTCTACTGTACACACACAGCGGCATGCATATTTTACTATTTGGCCACTACTCTACCAGCTTCCAAAGAAGGTTACACATGGATTGGAAGTCTGAAGATGGGTGATTACAGTTACGCACATTTCAGAGATATTGATATCTGGAAACGATACACAACATCTTTATATTTTGCCATTATTACTATGGCTACAGTCGGTGAGTCATCCTCTTCTTTCAACACTCACACAACTAAGGAGTCGATTACTACATAAACAGTCACTTGCTTATGCTGGTAATCCGGAGCCAATATGATACCTTTCTAATGGCAGGGTATGGCGATATCCATGCTGTCAATCTAAGGGAGATGATATTCGTCATGATCTACGTATCATTTGACATGATTCTCGGAGCTTACTTGATTGGTAACATGACCGCATTAATCGTGAAAGGATCCAAGACGGAGAAGTACAGGGACAAAATGACAGACCTGATCAAGTATATGAACAGGAATCAACTTGGAAGGGACATCCGTACCCAGATCAAAGGCCATTTGAGGTTGCAGTATGAGCGTAGTTACACTGAGGCCTCTGTTCTTCGGGACATTCCAATTTCAATTCGTGCCAAGGTTAGAACTTGGGAGTAAATCTTGATTGCTTTCCTTTCCCGTTGCATTAGTACCCCATTCTCTTGTTTCTTAACAATTAACTTCTTCCTTGCAGATCTCAGAAACTTTGTACCTTCCCATCATTGAAAAAGTTGGCCTGTTTAATGGGTGCTCTACGGAATTTATCAATCAGATTGTGAGTCATCTCTGGTACAATGATTCAGAGTTTCTTCAGCTTATAGACACATTCTACTCTATTCTGACATATGCATTCCTTCCATATTTCAGGCTGTTAGACTCCATGAAGAGTTTTTTCTTCCAGGAGAAGTAATATTGGAACAAGGAAGTGTTGTAGACCAGCTATACTTTGTTTGCCAGGGCGCTCTGGTATGAATATGATGATTCCACTGCTCATGCTACTTTACCTATATTCAAATATTAGTTGCTGCAACTTGAAAGACTTATTTTATACATGAGCTTTTGGTTTTGGTCTTCCGTGGAGCAGGAGGAAGTTGGCATGGGAGAAGATGGATCAGAAGAAACAATTTCACTTCTACAACCAAACAGCTCTTTTGGAGAAATCTCGATCATTTGCAACATTCCTCAACCTTACACAGTTCGAGTCTGTGAGCTATGCAGGCTCCTGCGACTAGACAAACAGTCCTTCTCAGACATACTTGAGATATTCTTCTACGATGGGCGCAAGATTTTGAACAACCTCCTAGAGGTACATACATGAAGCTCTAAGTCTCTCTACCATTTGTGATCTTATAACTTGTTATCGAATGGAAGGCGAAAAGCTGAGTTGTTTTAATGGCGAAACTTTTTGTTGACAGGCACAAGAAACAACTCTGCGAGAGAAGAACCTTGAATCAGACATCACATTCCACATAGGGAAGCAAGAAGCTGAGCTTGCTTTGAGAGTGAACAGTGCTGCTTTCCATGGGGATCTCTTCCAGCTGAAGGGCTTCATTAGAGCTGGAGCTGATCCCAACAGAACTGATTATGATGGCAGAGCACCATTGGTACTGAAACCAGCAAACGCTTTGGCTTTTTTGGGTTTTGCATATACCTTGGAACTTTTTTCCTTACGATTACTATGATCCGTGACACTTATTTGTTTCTTTGGAAAACAGCATCTTGCAGCATCGAGGGGTTATGAAGACATGGCTAGCTTCCTCATAGGGAAGGGAGTAGATGTCAACATGAAAGGTAACTTGGTGTGACTAACATTGATTCTGCTCTCAGTTCAGTTCCGGACCCAATTCGACTTTTAGTAAGACTGGATTTGATCGATATATTGTGATAAAATTTGGTTTCAGTATTCTAAAAACAAAGAATCAAACGGTTCAAATGGAAATCAAACTGAATTGAATGTGCTCTTTATGCTATGGTTCTCATCTTTTCCTCATTTTTTTTAATCTGTCCCATGGTTTGGGACCATCCTCTGATCATGGTTCCTTGTGGCCCGGTAATCCCTATTTGGTCCATCGTAGTGTTCACTAGGTCTATTTCTTCGATTTCTTAGGGATCCAATGAATTTGGGGGAAAGTTTCATAAGTTTGAATTGAGATCAAGTTGAATCAATTTTGACATGTGCTAGTCTGATTCATATATCAATTAGGTCTGATTCGATCAAGCTTAAGTGACCGACTTGTTGATTCTCTGGATACATTTACGCAGATAAATTCGGGAACACGCCATTGATGGAAGCTATCAAAAGCGGTCACGATCGAGTTGCGTCGTTACTTGTCGAGAAAGGTGCCTCCTTGAACATAGACGATGCAGGTAGCTTCCTGTGCACGTCAGTTGCAAGAGGAGACTCTGATTTTCTCAAGAGGATTTTGGCCTACGGGATTGATCCAAACTCAAAGGACTACGATCACCGGACTCCACTTCATGTAGCTGCCTCCGAAGGGCTCTACTTGATGGCCAAATTGCTGGTAGAAGCTGGAGCCAGTGTCTTTACAAAGGACAGGTACGTAGTAATTAATATGAATCTAATGCTTGCTTGTTTAACTTGGAACATAATCGGTGTGCAGCTATACAGCAACGAACATGTTGATGGCTTACGGCTTGGCTCTTTGCAGGTGGGGAAACACGCCATTGGATGAAGGCCGGAAGTGTGGGAATAAGAACTTGATCAACCTTTTGGATGGTGCTAAGACTGCACAGTTGGCAGAAATGGCTGATAGCTCTCAAGGAACGAGAGGTAAGCCAATGGTGAATAGGAGTGACTTGCCGCTTTTGCTTATTGTTGCCTCATCCAAGCTGAGCTTCTGATCATTTTGTGCTGCCCATTTCCCCTCATTGTGACAGAAACACATCACTCGAGAAAATGCACGGTGTTCCCATTCCATCCATGGTGTCCAGTGGAGGAGAGAAAGAGAGTTGGGATACTGTTATGGGTGCCAAACTCCATTGAAGAGCTCATAAAAGCTGCAGCCGAGCAGCTGGAGTTTCAGAGCGAGGAGGATTCGGATTCCACTACTACTTGTATTGTGACGGAAGATGGAGGCCGAGTTGTGGATGCAAATATGATTGATGATGCCCAGAAGTTGTATCTAATCGATCAAACACATTAAAAGACTCCGAGAATGAGACAATAAATTTTGGGTGTATACCTATATGTCATATCCACTATGTATGTTCCGTTGGCGCTTCTTTAACGTCATAAGTTAGAGGGTTAGATAGGTGATGATGTATCTTAGGTTTTGTACATAATTGTTGTGAATAGCTCTTGAGTGGAATAAGATTGGGATGTGCTTTTTTTTTTTCGTTTGCAATTTTCTCCCCAAAAAATTTTCTTAAATTCTTGGAACCCCATTTACATTTTTTTTACACCCTAAAGAAATCGAACGAAAAACTCAAATCAAAGCTCAACCCCATTCTTATTCTCAATGAACTTGGTCTCATCAACCAGCCCGAAGGAGAAAACTACTTGCAATAAATGATTAGTGTTTGTAACTACACGATTCTTTTTAACTTAAACGGTGTCGTATTGATATAGTGATGTTGGTTGCAATTCTACTTTTGTAAACCTCTAAAAAAGAATGGGTCAATTGCATGGTTTGTCACCGAGATTACAAAAAGCGTTCATGTTTGATCACTCTAAATATTTAAATCCATTTTTGGTCACTAACTTTACAAAAACCGTTCATTTATGGTCACTCTCCGTTAGCTGCCGTCCAACGCCATTAACGGCGTCCGTTAAGTGATGACATGGCTGACGGATTTGCCTAATCAGCACTTTTTAACCCCAAAATTGACTGACCCGACCCACCACGTCATTTAAACCCTCCATATCAGCTAAATGGAGTTTCCATTGGAAGCTCGGTTTAATTTCCATTTCAAGCTCTTTCCAGTAGGCTGCTGAATGGTGGATTTTGGGGTTAACTATGAAAGGGAGTCAAGGCAAGTGCGTGGTGGACTCTATTCCTCCTTCGTCGTCGGCGAATAGCGATCAAAGTTGGAGAGGAAGAAAAACGGAAGGGGGAAGGCGGCGCGGGATGGAGGCAGATGGATTTGTCTTCGATTAGGGTTTTAGTCAAAGGTGGGTAGATTAATTGGTGGGTCGGGACAGTTCTGTTTTAGTTAGCAGGTCTGGTCTGGTTTGGTTAGAGGTTTGGTTAGGTTTAGCTGACATGGAGGGTTTAAATGACGTGGCGGGTTGGGTTAGTCAATTTTGGGGTTAAAAAGTGCTGATTAGGCAAATACGTCAGCCACGTCATCACTTAACGGACGCCGTTAAAAAGTGCTGATTAGGCAAATACGTCAGCCACGTCATCACTTAACGGACGCCGTTAACGGCGTTGGACGGCAGCTAACGGAGAGTGACCATAAATGAACGGTTTTTGTATAGTTAGTGATAAAAAATGGATTTAAATATTTAGAGTGACCGAACATGAACGCTTTTTGTAATCTCAATGACCAACCATGCAATTAACCCAAAAAGAATCTATCTGCAGGGGAAGGGGAGTAAACTAAACAATGGAATGACTGATAACAAAAACGTTGCACATGTTTTTTTACTGCACATATATATAAATATAAGAAATGTGTCTTTACCCTAATGAACAGTAGGAGAAATATCTAGGAAAGAAAGCAAAACAAGTTAAAAAGGGCAACCAAACCAACTAACACAATAAAGTCGGTACGTGGGTTTGTTACGAGGCATTTTCCTTCACACAAGTAGAGTGGACAGTGGAGGAGGAAGGAGCTAATTGTACACCCAACGTTATCCCTTTTCTTGTTTGGTCTTGACCAGTGGTTGCAATAACTTCTCAGGTCAACGTCTTCTCTGTTATTACTTATTACTCGCACTGTCCCTGTCCTCCCTGTCCTACGTCCCCACTTTCTCTCTTTCCACTCTCCTTCCACAGTTTCTGAAACTGGTAAGAGAATTCCCTCTGCTGCTATATAAGAATTAAACGTTGATTCTTTGAGTACCGTGACCGTGAGGTGAGCTGATCAGAGAGGAAAAGAGCAGTAACATATATAGCACGAGAAAAGATCTCGGTTTGGTAGAAGAGAGATGTGGAACCCCGCCGTATTTTGCAGCACGGTCGCCGCCGCCGCCGGCAGATTCCCGCCGGCTCCAGTTCCAGAATCCCGGTACTCTGCTTGACTGCGTTTATCATGCATGCATCGATCCTTTTTTTTCTCTCGTTCTGATCATCATCTTCCCCTATCATTAATAATTTACCTCTCCGTCGTGGAACCGTAAGAATGGACTGAAATGTTTGGTTTTAATAATTCGCTGGTGGTTTTTGGAAAAGTTTTTTTTGGTGATGGTTGGCTGTTTGTAATTCACCCCTCTTTTAGCATAGTTAATATTAATAATATATATGATACTGATATGTTGCGGCTTTAATACGTAATAATTTTTATACTTAATTTTATGTTAAGAAGTTCGACCTCGGTTATAAAATTAAATAAAATTTTGTAAGTTATAATTATTAAATTATCAATCAAATTTCTTAAATTATGTATTTTATATGCACTAGTATGTGAAGCACCAAATAAACGAGAAAAATGCAAAGAAGTCTATAATAGTATGAAAATGATCATATGTATATTAAATGGAATTTTGCTAAATATACTCTTTAGAATGACTCAACGCAGTGGCTCCGGCAGGGGGCCATGGCCCTCCTAAAATATTAAAATCATGTTATGATGATAATTTCCTGGCAGAAATGACTAAGTTTATGGTTTGAGCGAGGTTTCTTTTTATTTTTATTTTTATGGGAATCTGTGTTCGGCTATATTAATCAGAAACCATGGTTACAATGTCCAGCTGCATCTGGTCCTTAAGGAAACTAGGCGGATTATCCACCCAAATCATTCTCTCATCCCAACAAACCTCCGCATGAGTGACTAGGAGTGCCAATGCATTAGCCTCTCTATTAATAGGATGCCAAGTATTATTGCCCAACTCCTGCATATATCTTCTAATGCTTCGGCAAATCACTCCCACTTCATCCTGTACAATCTCCGATGACCGGAGCTTATGCACCAGGTTCATGCAATCCAGCTCAAGGATTACGTTGGTAAGATGAAACTGGAAGGCCACCTGGACTCACACATCCGCTGCTAGAGCTTCAGCCACTTCTGCAGACCAAGACCCTCTGACTCTCTTCGCGGCAGCCAAAAGAAACTTGCAATCACTCCAAACCCAGCTCCCCTCACCATCTAAGATCCCAGCATTGGTGCACACGAAAATACAGCCGATCGGGGGTTTCCTCCACGGCTTGCGTTCCATCTGCACAGTGGTGTTGTCGTCCGAAGCTTGGTGTTGTTTGTACTCCGCTAGTAGATACTTAGCTCGAATTGGGATCTCCTCCTCGGGAAGTTTAGCTCCATTAAACAGATGAGTGTTTCTCTCCTTCCAGAGATACCAAAGCAGCACACACCATTCTTCTATCTTTCCTTGATCTCCCATCTCCATAACTTTTGAGCACCACTTCTGACACGAATCGGGGCCTCTAGCACTGAACATGGAAGCAACATCAGTCTTACGCCAAATACGGGACGACCACTGACATTCCGAGAAGATGTGGACTTGAGTCTCACGCTGGTTACAAAATGGACAAGCATCACTCCGCCTTGGGTTATAGTTACTAACCACTTCCCCCATTGGAAGGATCTCACTCGCAAACTTCCACAGGAAATGACGCACTTTTGGTTGAACTCCTAGACTCCAAATCTTCTTCCACAATTTCGTATCTCCCACTAGCTCCACCCCGTGTTCCCGCTGGAAGTTACGGAGCCACCTATGATAACCATCCCTGACAGTGTATATAGCGGTCTTACTTTCATGCCATATCAACTTGTCCACTTCATCGTTTTCCGAATGGGGATCTGACGAATAGCCATGGCCACAACCGTCGGGAAACAAGCCTCCAGCAGCGTGTCATCCCAAGAATTTGTCTCGTGATCAATTAACTCCCAAACGTATGAGTCCACCGGGAGACCAACCGGGTCCGAAGTAACAAACTGGTTCTCCACTCCCAGTATCCATCAATCCCCCCAAATCTTAACATACAAACCGTTACCTATTCTCTAACGCAAGTTGCTGGTTAGGAGGTTCTGCGCACTGAGGAGGCTGCGCCATACAAAGCTCGGCTGATACCCGAGCTTTGCATCCAAGATAGAAGTTCTCTTGTGGTATTTTGCCTCTAGAATCCTTGCAATCAATGATTTGGGTCTCTGCATTAAATTCCAGAGTGGTTTGGCAAGCAGTGCCTCATTGAATCCCCTGAGGTCCCGGAACCCCATTCCCCCATCCCTCTTCGAGCTAACCATCTCTTCTTGGACGCAGACCATGAGCTCTCCGTTCATCTCCCTTTTGACCCCACTAGAACTTCATACTGAGACTATGAACATCATTAATAACTCCATCCGGAACCCTGAAAACCGACATTGCATAGGAGAATTGGGATTGTGCCACCGATTTAATCAAAACTTCCCAGGCCACAACTGAGAGAGCACACTCCTTCCATCCATTCAGCTTCTTCTGCAATCGAGTCTTGATCTCCTCAAATAGTTCCTTCTTTGATCATCCTGCTTCGGTGGCTAGTCCCAGATATTTGTTGTGTTTGCTCATGCGAGTCATCCCAAGCACTCTCCCTATCTCTAGCTGACGATGGACAGACACATCAGAACTGAATGATACGTCAGACTTCTCAAAGCTAACTTTCTGCCCCGATTCTTGCTCATAATCTGTTAGGATGCTCTTGAGTACATTGCTTTCCTGGAGCGTAGCAATGGCAAAAAATATACTATCGTCAGCGGAAAAAAATGCGATACCACCGATGCACCGATCGCCGGTTGAAACCCATGTAATCTCTTCTCTCGAACAACAAGAGAGGTGTATGCTGAGAGCACTTCCGCACGCAGGAGGAAAAGGTATGGGGACAGGGGATCCCCTTGCTGGAGTCCACGGCTCGGCGCGAACTTGGGAGACTGATGCCCATTGATAAGGGTCGAGTACGTGAATGAACTCACACAGAGCATAATCACCCGCACCCATCTCTCCGCAAATCCCATCTTCCTCATAACCCCAGCCAGGAAGTGCCTCAACTCTATCATATGCTTTTGCCATATCAATTTTTGCCGCAGAACCCCCGGTCCCTTGGTTTTTTTCTTCTTCTTCATCGAATGAAAGCACTCGAATGCAACCATCACATTGTCTGTAATGAATCTTCCAGGAACAAAGGCGCTATGCTCTTGGGATATGACCTTATTTAGCAACAACTTCAGCCTATTCGCCAGAACTTTCGCTGCAATCTTGTACAAGATATTACACAAGCTGATTGGTCTGAATTCCTTGGGATATTTTGGCTGTTTCACCTTCGGAATCAACGCTATCAGCGTGTGGTTCAGTCCCATTGGCATCTCTTCCTTCTCAATGATAGCTGTCACAGTTTGCACCACAGTATCACCGATGATGTCCCAATACTTCCTGAAAAAGAAGGCCGAGAGACCATCAACCCCTGGCGCCTTACGACGTCCCATCTGCTTAAGAGCACCGACAACCTCCTCCCTATCAACCGGCCAAAGTAGCAGATCATCATTATCCGCCATAGTAATGGTGCTTGGAATGACATCCAATACTGGGGTAGACGTGGGGATGTCCCCTGCCGAGAACAACAAACCATAATAATTGTTAAAACAATCAAAAAGTTGATCTGTCCCCTTATACCACCTAGAGGAATCATCATGCAGCTTTCGAATCATATTTCTCCTTCGTTTAACCAGTCCGGCCGAAGCTTTCTTGTGAAAGAAGTTCGTGTTCTTGTCTGCTTCCTTTAACCAGTCCGGCCGTGATCTCTGTTTCCAATAATTTTCCTCGTCATTTTCGATTTTGACCAGTTCATCCTCAAGCTTCCACATCTGCCTTTCCACCACCGGGCTTCTGGGCATCTTCTCCAGTGCGCTGATTGCTCTTCGAATTTTGGCCTTCTGTCGCCCAAAGTTGGGGAAGGTGGCGCTATTCCATGACTCTAAGCGATCCCTGCACATATTAATCTTGGTCATAATATCACTAGATCCAAGATTTTGCCAAGCTTCCATGACAACTCCCTTGCTTTCCTCATGATTTTCCCAGAACGGGTCGAAACGAAAGCTCTAACCCCACTTTGGTTCCTCATCTTCATCACCACGAGTATCACAGGTGATCGGCCGATGATCTGACCTCGTTTTGTCCAAGTGGCGTACCCGAGCATTAGGAAATATGGACAACCAGTCATCAGAACCAGTAAACCGATCTAGTCTTTCCTCCACGTATCCCCCAGTCCGGCGCCTGTTCTCCCACGTAAAGGGCGGACCTTCAAAGCCTAAATCCCGCAATCCCGAATCAACAAGCCCATCATGAAAAGCCACCATCTCCGCCACCGGCCTAGCCTGACCTCCACGTTTCTCCTCCATCGAGAGAGGATTTCATTCAAATTGCCACCGCAAAGCCAGGGCCCATCCCCTTGATTTGATAACCTACGGAGAAGCTCCCAGGTATTTGCCTTGTCTTCTGCCCCTGGCCATCCATAAACTCCTATAAATCTCCAGTAAACCTCACCCTCCTCCACTATCTTCGTATCAATGTAGTGTTCCTCAGTACGCATGACTGTCAAGTTGGTTTCTTCAATCCACCACACACTCAACCCACCAGATCTACCTCCTCGAGATAGATCAGTCGGCCAACAGTCTCCGCCATGATATCCAAGTTCTTTCCGTGTCTCTTCATTCTCATCTTTTGTTTGCTTGGTTTCCATTAAGAAAACCACTTGAGGGGAGTAAAGTCGCAAAAGCGACTTGAGAGCTCAAACTGCACGCTTACTCCCTAGTCCGCGACAGTTGTAGCTGAGTATCATCATTGATCACCCAAAGGGGATATGTTCCCCGCACCATCTCTAGATTGTCCATCCCTTACAGCATTTATTTTCTCACTTGGAGTACGACTCTCTGCAGCCAACGTTGTAGGATCCGGTGGTTTCGTTTGGCGGTTCAGGGTCTGCTCAAGATCCGCTGGCTCTTCCATTCGCACGTCCTGCATGGTTTGCATGGTTTGACGCGTTGGGACAGTATCAGGGACTATGTTCTTTTCCAACCGCCCAGATTGTTTACCCTTGTCCATGACCTTTTCCTTCTCTTGTGGAACCTTCAGATGTGAATCATTATTAACCACCTGACCAGCTGGCGGTGCGCTTTTCGATTGGGCTTTCTTTGCATGGGAGGTATCACTGGTCTCCCCTTCTACTTGTCCCAAGTTTAGCACTTCAAAGCGCGGCCTCGTTTTGTTCTTTTTCTCTACTGTTTTCCCCACCGAGGCAGCAGCAACACTCGACCGGGCTGCGGCTTCTTCTTCGCTATCATACAGAGTTTCAGGCTCCTTAGCTGCGAGGGTTAGAGTTGTCTCCGGCCTGGTTGTCTCTATATTTTCCTCTGTTGTGTTACTACTAGTAGCGAGCTCTCTCGTAGTATGTTCACATTTCATTATTGTTACTTTAATTATACTTGATAGCAAGAAAATGTTTGATCTAATCCATAAACACCCTGGCCTCGTCATTATTGATACCTTAATTACAAAGGTTTGATAGCAGTAAATTTCGTATTTAATTAAATTGCATGTTTATTATCGTAATAGTATTTTGATAGCAGTAAAATGTGTAATCTAATCCATGAATTAATTATGTAATCCTATATTTTCTTTCCTTAGTTAAGTTGTCATTATTCGAATAAATATATGAAAAAATTTCGACAATTAATTATGTGTCCTCATTATGTCATGAGAATTTTTTTTCTCTACAAATCCCTCTAATTTCAAATCCTAGCCTCGTTACTGATTGAACGCTGGCGAATGAATGAGCATCAATCACTTCTTGTTATTTTTCTTCTATAGAGAATTATTCGGCCGTAGCTAAAAGATGAATTACATAACGACGACGGCGGGGCGACCGTCCTTCTCCTTTCTCACTTTGGATTCCCTTTTGGTAACGCGACAGGGCTATTTTGGCAGACGGCAGAATCAGTGACGGCCATCCAAAACACGACAACGACCACAAAAGGCATCTCGTCGTCCCGTCCGCCGTTCATCCAGCAGCCGGCGGTCGCATCAACAACAAGAAGAACAACTTTATATGCTCGTAATAATTCTACTCCCTCTCTCTTTCACGTCCACACATATTCGTTGCTGTGTCACAAAGTACAAAATGCCGGTCTATAAACAAGTCAATTGTGGAAGGGTTTGCAGTTTGATTAAGATGATGTTCAAAGGGCTAATGAACGTACGTTCTTATATAACATTGGTGGGATTTAATTGTTATCAACTATTTACAAGCGATGGACATGAATCACATGATATTGAATGGTATTTTATTTGCACCCGAATTCTCAAAGTGTTGGGAACTCATAGTTTGTGAAGTGCGTATACCATATTAGAGATCAAACCGTACCGTATGTCAGTTCATTATGATACACATTTGTAATGATGTATATATAATATAGTTAAATGACTCTATTCTTAGTATATCAACCGATTTTAACAATTTTGATAAATGATATTATAAGGATGTATTACCGGTTGAATGTATTATTTAATTCTAACATTATTTTAACAATGATATACTTTACTAAAGTAAATCACCGTTTAGGATATATATATATATATATATATATATAATTTAGGAGTAGTTTGGTTTTGGTGATACTTGAATCAACGAATTGTGTGGCATTGGGATTTACACTTAACTTTGCAAAATAAAGACAAAAACATTATTGTTATCAAAATATGGTTTAATTCTTCTTCATATATACCTTTTAGAAACCCAAGTAATTTGTGTCCATATCCAGAGAAAACAGGTATGATTATTCTCTCCCTGTTACCAACTTCCAACAGATGCTCTGTGACTGTGCCTGCTGTACTATGGGAGGAGGAAGAGAAGAAGAAGAAGAAGCAGCCGCAAACGGTGACGTTTGGGTCGAATGAAGCTTCTTCGATGGTGAAGCAGCTGAGGCAGAGCTTCAAATCTGGGAAGACCAAGAGTTATCAATGGCGGGTCTCTCAGCTGAAAGGGATTGCTAAAATGGTCGAGGAGAGGGAAAGCGACATCGTTCAGGCCCTTTACCAGGACCTCTCCAAGCCACCACTTGAAGCCTTTGTTGCTGAGGTTTGATCTTATTGATTTGTTGTCTGATATTTGGATGTTTTCTTTCTTTCTTTCTTTCTTATTGGTTTATATTATATATGGGTTTTCTGTTGCAGATTTCAATGGCCAAGTCTTCATGCAGGGAGGCCATAGAAGGGCTCCAAGATTGGATGAAGCCTGAAAAGGTAAATACTATACTACCCTTTTCATCTTCTTGTCCTAACCAGTAATATTAGAGCATATTTGTTAGCAATCATTGTATATGAACTTTGATTGTCCTTATATTATTTACACAACTACATATAAATAATGTTAGCCTGATGGTTAGTTGAGTTCCTAATATATACCTTTTTTTTTTTTTAATCTTATGCTGCAGGCCAAAACCGGCATTTCAACATACCCATCTACAGCAGAGATTGTCTCTGACCCTTTAGGGGTAGTGCTGGTCATCTCAACCTGGAACTTCCCCTTCTGTAAGCATTCTATCTACCACCAATTCGATCTCCCAACGACTCCAACGGTACTATTTTGCTTGCCGCCAGAGTTTGAACAATTGGTCTTAATTTGTATCTCTGTTTTGGTGGATGTTCCAGTGCTGTCTATAGATCCAGTGATTGGAGCCATAGCAGCAGGAAATGCAGTGGTTCTGAAGCCATCAGAGATTGCTCCGGCGACATCTGCACTTCTGTCCAAGCTAGTGAAGGACTACCTGGACGATTCTGCCGTCAAAGTTGTTGAAGGGGCCATCCCTGAAACCTCTGCATTGTTGGACCAACAGTGGGATAAGATTCTCTACACAGGAAGTGCTAGAGTGGGCAGGATTGTAATGGCTGCCGCGGCCAAGCACCTGACTCCTGTGGTGCTTGAACTGGGTGGCAAATGCCCTGCTGTTGTGGATTCCAATGTCAATCTAGAGGTACGTACGTACGTACGTAGATTTTAATGTTACTTCACACTATTAGTTCAACATTTGCTGGTTGACTTTAAGGCTTGCTCATCAGTACGTAGTCATGTTTGTTGAGAAATTAAGGTTGCTGTGAGGAGGATCATAGCAGGGAAATGGCAATGCAACAATGGACAAGCCTGCATTGGAGTTGATTACATCATAACTACTAAAGACTTTGCTCCAAAGTTGGTAAGGACCAGTTCACTAGAGGTTTTTTTTTTAACCAAGTTAGTTAATGAGTCTCCTAATTAATGATGCTTAATTAATTAAATTACTTCCTTGGGGAACAGATAGAAGGTCTTAGAAAAGGGATAGAGGAGTTCTTTGGGAAGGACCCAATGGAGTCGAAGGACATTTCCAGGATTGTGAGCCCTGCCCAATTCAAACGTTTGGTTGGGCTTCTGGATGAGGATAATGTCTCTGACAAACTTGTCCTTGGTGGCCGCAGGGATTCAACTAGATTGTAAGGTTTCTTCTCTCTTTGCTTTCTCCATCACTTCCTTTTCTTCTTCATATTCGATCGGTAACTATATACTTGATCTATGTATGGGGCGAAGTTAAAGTAAACTCCTCATATCATTAAGGTCATTAATTAATTAATTCGACCATGCATATCGATAAATGGATGGTTGGTGCAGGAAGATAGATCCAACCATAGTATTGGATCCTCCTCAGGAGTCCCAAATCATGCAGGAAGAGATCTTTGGACCATTGCTTCCCATTGTCACGGTAGGCAATTTGAAGGAATCCTTTGAAGTGATAAACTCCAAACCAAAACCTCTAGCAGCATACCTCTTTACAGAAGATGAGCAGCTGAAGCAGGATTTTGTGGAGAATGTTCCCTCTGGAGGCATGTCCATCAATGACACCATACTCCACGTACGTATTACTCGATCATTGGCCTAATAGTAATGTGGGAATGATAGCTTTCTTTCTTTCACTGGACCTTTCGATTATTGAGTGTGGATATATCTTTGACATTGTATATTGCTGCATTCAGGTGACAGTTCACACAATGCCATTTGGAGGAGTTGGGGAGAGTGGAATGGGATCATACCATGGCAAGTTCTCATTTGATGCATTCAGCCACAAGAAGTCAGTCCTCTACAGAAGCTTCAGTGGGGATGCTTCTCTAAGGTACCCACCTTACACTCCAAAGAAGCAAATGGTAATGAAGGGCCTCATGAATGGTGGGTTGCCTGGGATGCTGCTTGCTTTGCTTGGATGGTCTTCTCACAATAGTGGTACTAAATCTTAGGCTAGGGAAAAGAGAGATTATTGTATTTGATTACTTGAGCAATCTACTTTTTTTCAATCAAAGTATATGTATATTAATATAAGCATAACTAATAGTAATTTGTGGTATGCATGTGTAGATACATATATATGTATTGCCTAGTCCTCTACCAGCGAGTTTTGAATCACTTGCCACGGTAACAAGCAATAATAATGGTCAAAATTTGTTTTTGTTTTGAGTGACCAATCCATAATAAGACGATAAAAAAAATAAAGTTACAATTGCTTCAATTGGTTGGATTAGACCGGATAATGCATTTCCAATCTATATTTAATTGAGTTTGACTTCTATCCCAATTCAAAATACAGTTAGAACTTAGAAACCAAACCTTTCTGTGTTCTGCCAGGGTGGAAATGGAGGGGGAGGAGAAATACAACTCCCGAGGAGTTCCCCCACCCCCATTCGGAGAGAAAACGAATGCGGGCATTTATTCTTTTATTATTATTATTATTATTATTTGCTTAATCTCTCTTCTCTCTCTTTCTTCTTTTTCTTCGTTTTCTTTCCCCAAACACCAAAAACTGAACCAGCAATCCAGCACCATTGTTCTTGGATGAAACACATCCAAAAGAAACTAGCTATGGGCCCGCCCGATGGGCGGATTTGGCTACCCATTTTAACCTAATATGAATATCGTCAGTTATCACTCAAAATATCAGAATCTTTGACTAATGTTAGCATTTAGATAAAAAGCATTATAAATAGAGGTGGCAAATGGATTGGATTGGTGGATTGGTGGATTGGATTGGTGGATCCATAGATCAAATGGATTGGATCTAATGGATTGGTGGATTCATGGATTGGATCAAGTGGATTGGTGGATTATCCATGAATCCAAATGACATCCTCAACCAATGACCAATATGTAAAATGTAAAAAGTTTAGGTACCAAAACGTAATTTTCCAATGATATTTTTCGTATAAAAAATTAAATTTTAGGTACAAAAATGTAAAAAATAAAAATTATAGGTACTAAACCGTAATTTGCCAATGATCCATGGATCCAATCCATGAATCCACCAATCCAATTGGATTTGGATAAAATGGATTGGATTTAAATGGATTGGATTAGGTGGATATTTTTAATGGATTGATGGATTGGATTGGTGGATTGGATTGAAATTGCCACCTCTATTTATAACTGAATTGCTATTCGTAGCCCTAAGATTAAAAAAAAAATCGCCCTAAACTACACTGAATTGACACATATACCCCTGACTTCAAATCTAAACTACAATATGTCCCCAACTCCAAACCCGATTCTCAAAATCTCGCAAAAAATCTGTCGTCCATCCATTCTTACTCTCCGCCACCGCCGCCGCCAGGGTCACTCCCCGCCGCCGCTGCTATTCGTCGTTGCTGTCAACCAGGAGGAGTTCGTCTAGGTTTAGGTTGACATTGTCGAGAAGCTTGCCGTCGTGGATCAAGTGGTAGTCTGATCGCTGGGCTCGTCCGTGATTGAAATTGTTCCTCCGCGGGATTGGATTTCGGATATGAGTACGGCGATGGTGTCCCACAACGTGGAGGGTGAAATTAGGATTTGCTGTGATTATAGGTTTACGAATATTTGCATCTCTTCCTGTCTTTTTTGGTATTCCGAGCAGCAAAGTGATGGAACGAAAGATGTGTGGTGGCGGTGACCGTGGCTAGAAACTTTAAATCCTTGATCTCCATGGAGAAATTGATCTTTGCGGTGAGAAAATAAATGCTAGGAATATATTATATACGAAAATTAATTAAACACATTAATTATTTTAAGAGATATTAAAAATAAATCAAGGGTATTAGAGTAAATTTAACTAAATTAGGGCGACGAATAAGGATTTTTAGGGCGACGAATAGCAATCCCCATTTATAAACGTATCCCACAATATCAATGAACATAGTTTATAAAGCAATGCTTTTCACTTCTACTTTGTCAGCCGAACAACGAACCCAAAGTCATAAATTAGAGCTCTTTACAAACCCCAAACAAATAAGAACATGATACAATGTTCTAGTCTAAGACTAACTTCAACTCATAAAGTCAAATTTGGCTTCCAAATAGTCAAATATGGCTTTTTACTAGCTTCCCAAATCTCATTTTTACTCCAACCCTACAAAAAGCTAAATTTAGCTTCCCATCTCCTTTTTTCAATAAAACATACTTATTTGGTCCCTAATTTTTATATTTCACTTTAAATTTTTTATAGTTCGTTATTACTTTTGAAAACAAAAATTTTGATGTAAATTTTTTAAAATTCCGAAACAAAAAAATATTTGGAACATTAGTCATTCATTTGTTATCGTTAACTTTGGGAACACTCTAAATATAACATTTTTTTAAGGCCGTTAAAATATGATCGCTACAATGTAACCATTGTTTCGTCACTACATGAATGATTTCTCATTTAAATTTAAAATACATTCAAATAGAACAACAACCAATCACAAAGGAAAGAGAGGAAAAACAAAAAAAAAGGTCTGCGCAGGGCCACTTTATACTCCAGCCATATTTGGCTTTCCAACGAAAAGAGGAGCTATATTTGGCTCCCAAAATGACCATACCCATATTTGACAGGCAAAATTTTTGTGGGTTGGAGCCCAAAAAAAGCTAAATTTTGCTTTTTAGCTCTTTTGCTCCATGGGTTGGAGTTAGTCTAACTCACTGAAAATCGAAAACTCAGTATCAACAAAGGCACAGAAAAATGGGAGTATGCTAATGGCATGATCATGAGTTCAAGCTTTGACACCTTCTTCCTTCTTGGCTTTCCTTAATTCTTCCAGACTTGTGTTGACATATGTAAAAAGGCAGAGATTTAACCAATTCCAATTAACATAAAAAGATGGTCTCATGAAATAGCTACATGTAAAATCCTAGTAGTTAAGCGCATAAAATAATTAGCCATAATCAGGTTGAACATGAATCATCAAACCCGCAAAAACTCTACAAATTAAGATACAATGATATCACTTAGATTGAGTAGGGATTTAACTAATTGTAACTATTACTACGAAATATGAGTTAACAATAACATGCCGTACCCTATCTAAATTGCTCCATAACACTCCTATTTTCTGTTCCTCCGAAAATGGAAGAACCATGGTCGGTCTGTTCCACACTTCCACTGGACACCAAAATCTAATTAAACAGTAGATATGTTGAAAATAAAACTTACCTGGATTTGCAGGGACAAAGAAAAAACGTAAGGTTATCAGTTTGAAATTCCAACAAATCAATATGCAGCCTTAAGGCTAGGAATTAATAGCAAGAATGGCGTAGTAGTGCAACGTAATCATAAACACAACTTTGGGTAAGATTTGAGGGTGTGATTAATTTGCTACCCTGTGGCTAACAAACCCAAGACCATGAGGCAAAATTGTTGGCGTGATCGGGTGGCTCGCTGGATGCAACTTCCGATTGGTAGAGGCAAAGCGGTGCTGTAATCCCTCTGAGCGAAATCCCCACCGAATATGGCTGAGGAAGGCAAAGTTGATGTGGGATTATGAACTAACAGGTGGTTATCGCCTCTATCTAGTCAAAACGGGAGAATCCTAGGGTAAATATATATATATATTGTGCCCTGCCAAATGTGTCAGGCAGATTTAAGGTTTTGCCGCTGTAACAAGGATTAAAAGTAATGCAAATTTGGGAAGAAGGAATTGTGGTCGTTAATGGTGTGAATGAGGAAGATGATGGTCATGTGAGAAGAAGGTAGAATTGAGCGGTAGGAAAGAGCGGTTTCCCTCGTCGACGGGATGGGCGGGGGAAGAAGGAAACAGGAATTTATTAGGCTGACGTGGATAGGCTATGCTTTGAGAAAGCCTTACGTGGATGGGGGCTGAAAATCAAAGCGCTTTAATATTTTTCTAGATAGATAGATAGATAAAATAATCGGAATACGAATGAAAGAAAAATTAAACAAAAATTAACAAAAAAACTTACTAAGTTCACCGTCCGGCGCCGACGGGGCTTAGACCATCGTTGCTATTCCTAATTTTTGCCAGTTCGAAATCTAAATAAAAAAAAAAGGAAAAGAAGCATCAAAATCCTACAAAACCAATGAAACCAGAAAATTGCATTAACAAAAATAGCTAATCTAGTGAATAGAGATGCATGCAGGCATGCAACATCACCCAGGGGCGGACCTAGGGCTAGGGGAGGGTGTCGTCCGACACCCCTCCGTCCGAAAATTTTGTGAAGGACCTCCATTTTTTCGGTACAAAAATTTTTAAGTTGGGACTTCCGACACCACTCTAATAATTATAAGCGACACACCTTCATTATACGACAATAGAGAAAATCAAATTTAACAATAATAAGTAAAATCAAATAAGCATGCTTGTTTTAAGTAACCCACAACCCAATTTAACTTTTCGATTTGTAATTAATAGGTGAATTGCAAATATAGATGGGAGATTGTGGTTTGATTTTGGTTAATTTGATAGAACTAGAGAAAAAATGCTAATGATATGACTTTAGGCATACTTTGTTTTTTCTAAAATTGTTGATTGGTAGATTGTAGTTTACTATATTTGATTGTAAACTAATTTATTTTAACTTAATTTGATTTTAGACGTAGGTCGATTCTCTTTGGTTGAGTGACTAATTTATGAATGATTGTGTAATTGTGTATATAGAAAAAGGTTTGATTTGCAACATAAATGATCAATGTATTTTTAAAAAAATTTAGGATATAAAAATCATCATAATTCATAGTAAACATGACGTTGTGAAGTTATAAATGAATTTCCAGTCATTTCTATTAAATTTTTATTTAATTATTTTATTTATTATAATTTTTTATCGACGACACTCCTTTTCAATAATCCTGGGTCCGCCACTGACAACACCAATCTCATCACTGGGGGAGCACAGCCTGGAATTTGTTGCTTGTGGTAGAATAATGAGGCGGTCGATAGCTTCTTGTGGTTCTACAATTTTGAATAGCAGATCCTACGTTTTGGGTGGAGAGTTCCGATCAGCAAAAACTGAAAAAGGTGGGTGGACAGGGTTTCTCGCCATACTTTCTAATCTATTTCTTACCCTCCCCAGCGGTGATTTCTTGGTTTGATCAAAGAGATGCTGCTAACAGAGTAAACGAACCAGAACTGATCGATTGGATGAACCGGTCTTGGTTCCTTGGACCCACTGATACGACGTCATTCAGCTGTGCAGTGATTGAGAGGTAGAGACAAGGACGACGTCGTCGCATTTAGGCGCCAAGACATATTTCCATTTATATTGTACAACAACACATGTTGCTTTATCATTGGACACTTCAATTAATTAGTTTTGTTTACCGTTGTAACTCTGTAATTAGACTGATAGCTAGCTGTACAGTTCTACTCTTTCATATATAGGCCCTCAGTGGCAAAGAGCCCCTTTGCGGGTTCCCCTCCAATTTGTCTTCTACCAAATTTCATATGGTATCAGAGCCTGGTTCTCAGAACTAGGGTTTCTGCATCCTTTACCCGCATTATATCTTCCTCCTAAACTCCAGCCGCCATGGCAGATACTTCATCTACAGACGCAGCCACTGGTTCTGGAGATGATGATAACAACAACAACAACAACAACAACAACAACAACAACACACTCACTGCTCATGCACAGCTACCAGCTGTGACAAACCCCTTCTATGTTAACCCTAATGAGGCTCTCGTCTTCCCCATCAAACTCACTGGTACCAACAACTACAATCAATGGAGCAGGACAGTTCGTGTGGCTCTCAAAAGAAAGAACAAGCTGGGCTTCATCAATGGCACAATCCCAATCCCAGATCTGCTTCATCCTTCTTACCCAGCTTGGGAACAAAGTAACACTTCAGTCCTCTTCATGATTCTTGGATCCTTGCATCCTAGTCTAGTTGATTCTGTTTCTTCCATGGAAAATGCTCAAGTTGTTTGGAATGATCTCAAACAGTGATTTAGAAAAGCAGATAATATAAGGATTAGTGATTTGCAAACTGCTGTTTACACTTTAAAGCAGGGAAGTAAGTCTATGAATGAATTCTATACTGAGTTGAAAAGTCATTGGGCGGAATTGAACCAATTCCTTCCGATTCCAGGATGTCTGTGTGGTGATGTCCATACTAGAACTGTACCGTGTGTGACTGAAGTTGCAATCAAAGGGTACAGGGATAATGAATATGTGACGAGGTTTCTTAAGAGGCTGAATGATTCCTATGAAGGAGTCAGGACTAACCTATTCATGATGAGTCCTTTACCCTCGATGGAGACTGCTTTTCATTTTGCCATCCAGCATGAGAGGCAACTTCCAGCCAAAAAAAATCAAGAATATGCAGTGGAATCAGTGGCTTTTGTTGCCCCATCAGGATCTCAAGGAAAGAGAAAAGAGATACCAAAGGGGGATTTGTTTTGCAGATATTGCAAGAAGAATAACCATGTGATAGCAGATTGCTATAGGCTGAAAAGAAAGAATAGGGAAGCAGGACACTCATCTGGAGGCTTTGCTGGTCAATTACAAGGAGTGTATTCATCTTCTGATAGCATCCTTGGGAAACCAGACTCACAGAATGGGTGGGAATGAATCAGGGGGAGGATTCACTAATCTTCGACTCTCCATTGAAGATGTCCATAGACTCCAGAAGCTACTTGGAAAGTTCAGTCCACCACAGTCACCCACTTCTCCCAACAACTCATCCACTGGTTCTACACCAAGAGCAGCTTCACAACATGTTCAAGTGAACTTAGTCACCAAGCATATCTCTGCTAGTCCAAACTATGCAGGTAAATTTACCTTGACCACATATTATCAGAAGCATCCACTAGAGCTTGTCAATGTTTGGTTTCTTGATACTGGGGCCACTGATCATGTTACTTGCTCATTTAACCATTTTCTAAATAGCAAACCTGTTTCTAATGTTTTCATTACACTACCAAATGACTCTAAAACCCCAACAACCCACTCAGGAACAGTTAGGTTATTGTCAGGACTTGTTATTCATGGAGTTCTTTTTGTTCCTACTTTTTCTTTCAACCTCATTTCCGTCAGTAAACTGACTAAGTCCCTTCCTGTGTCTCTTTCCTTTCAATCCAACCTATGCTACAATCAGGACCTTCTCACCAGCAAGAGGATTGGTTATGCCCAAGAGATTAGAGGTCTTTATCAGCTCATTCAACACACAGGAGATCTTACCATACATGTCAATTCCACAACTACACAAAGTCTCATAACTGAATCCTTTAACCTGTGGCACTGGAGACGTGGCCATCCATCTCAGCATAGAGTAAAGGAATTACAGAAAACCATTCCCACTGTCTGTGTTGAGTCTATTCAACATTGTCAAGTCTGCCATTTGTCCAAACAAAAAAGTTTACCTTTTTCTTCAAGCCAATCAATGGCAAAGAGTGTTTTTGAACTCATTCATGTGGATATTTGGGGGCCACTTGTTGTTTGTTCTTACAATGGATTCCAATACTTTCTTAACATTGTTGATGATAAGTCTAGATGTGTGTGGGTATTTCTAATGAAACACAAAAGTGAAGCTAGAAAACTTCTGCAAGATTACTGCATTATGGTGAAAAGTTAGTATGATAAAAGGGTTCATATCATCCGCTCTGATCAAGGAGCTGAGTTTCACATGCCAGACTTCTTTTCCAAACATGGCATTATTCACCATCTTTCTTGTGTAGAAACACAACAGCAAAATGCCAGGGTAGAACGAAAACACCAAGACATACTCAATGTAGCCAGATCCCTTAAATTCCAATATGGTCTTCCCCTAAAGTTTTGGTATGATTGTGTTCTACATGATGTGTTCTTAATTAACAGACTACCTACTGATGCTCTTGCAAACAAGACCCCATTTGAAACCCTTTATGGCTTTCCTCCTGACCTTTCAGACCTTAAAGTGTTTGGATGCTTGTGCTATGCCAGCACACTTAGTCATCATCGCACCAAATTCCAACCGAGAGCCAGGCAATGTGTATTTTTGGGTTATACACATGGAATTAAAGGCTTTAAGTTACTAGACCTTTCTAAGCAGAAAGTATTTCACTCTCGAGATGTTCTGTTCCATGAAAGCATCCTACCTTTCTTATCTCCCCAAAACTCCACTTCACCTCCTGATACACCAGCACCACCTGAACCAAATTTCTTTGCCACCACACCATTACCAGACCTTGACACTACACTTCCTTCCACTATTCCTCCAACATTTGAGGAGCATCCTGACCCCCCATCTCCTTCTTCTATCCCACCTAGCTCTATTCCATCTTCTCCAGCCATTCACACACCTTCTCCTATATCTGTTCCTCAAGATAGTTCTTCTTCTTCTCTTCCAATTGTTCTCAGAAAACCCACTCGAGCTCATCATCCCCCTGTCAAGTATAATGATTATGTCTTATCAATGGAATCAAATGTTGACAAGCCTAGGTACCCCATGGTTGCATGTTTCTCCTATGCCAATCTCACTTCAGGTTACAGATCATATGTGCTAGCTCTTAACTCCATTATAGAGCCAAGTAGCTATGAAGAAGCTGCACAACATGACTGCTGGAACCAAGCAATGAAGCTGGAAGCTGATGCTCTCACAGCAAATCAAACTTAGGAGGTTGTGCCTAGACCACTCGATAAGAGAACAATTGGGAGTAAATGGGTGTACAAAATCAAACTCTTACCTGATGGCAGCATTGAAAGACACAAAGCAAGGGTCGTAGCTAAGGGATTTACACAGATTTATGGTCTGGATTTTCTAGATACTTACTCTCCTGTGGCAAAGTTAAACTCAGTTAAAACACTGCTTGTTGTGGCAGCAGCCAAACAGTGGCATCTCTTTCAGCTTGATGTGAGTTATGCATTCCTTAATGGGGACCTCAATGAAGAGGTTTACATGGAACTTCCCCCTGGACTTTCTCAACCTAGTATGGTTTGTAGACTCAAGAAGTCTCTTTATGGCTTGAAGCAAGCTTCATGCCAGTGATTTGCCGTCCAGCAACTTTGTCAATATCAGGATGCTCCCACCACAACACATCTTCAGCTTGCTTACAGAGTGTTGAAGTACTTGAAGAACTCCCCAAGTCAAGGGCTGCTATTCCCATCCTCTTCTGATCTACGACTCAGAGGGTATAGCGACTCAGATTGGGCTTCCTGCCCTGACACAATACGATCTACCACAGGCTACTGTATTTCCTTAGGGAAATCTCTTGTAATATGGAGATCCAAGAAGCAAGGAACAGTCTCTCGTTCCTCCTCAGAAGCCGAGTATCGGGCCCTAGCTCAGCTTACCTGTGAAGTTGTTTGGGTAAAGAGGCTTCTGCAAGAACTTAACGTCGATCATCCTCGCCCAGTTGAAGTTTATTGTGACAATCGATTAGCTCTGTACATAGCTGAAAATCCTGTGTTTCACGAAAGGACGAAACACATTGAGATCGATTGTCATGTGGTTCGCCAATACCTTCAGTCCAAGCTCATTTCTCTTCATCACCTTGACATTGAGAACCAGATTGCGGATCTTTTTACAAAAGGTTTGAGCAGGTTTCGTTTACAGTTCTTATTATCCAAGCTTAACATACAGAATCTGTATGCTCAGCTTGAGGGGGCATAACAGAGTAAACGAACCAGAACTGATCGATTGGATGAACCGGTCTTGGTTCCTAGGACCCACTGATACGACGTCATTCAGTTGTGCATTGATTGAGAGGCAGAGACAAGGACGACGTCGTCGCAATTAGGCGCCAAGACATCTTTCCATTTATACTGTACAGCAGCACGTGTTGCTTTATCATTGGACACTTCAATTAATTAGTTTTGTTTACCGTTGTAACTCTGCAACTAGACAGATAGCTAGCTGTACAGTTCTACTCTTTCATGTATATAGGCCCTCAGTGGCAAAGAGCCCCTTTGAGGGTTCCCTCCAATTTGTCTTCTACCAAATTTCATAGCTGCTACTATTGCTTCTATTAATTTGTTCCAGAAGATGAAGGAAGGCAATGATTTAAGGAGAAAGGGAGAGAGAGAGCAGAGAGTTGCAGAGAATAGAGTGGGTTGAAGAAGATGTGTATAGAGAGACGGTTTTTAGTGTGGGGACTGCTTTTATATTCTAATAATAATTTCATAATTGTTTCAGTTTTTCATTTGGTAAATATAAATAAATATATGATAAAAAATAAATAGATATGTTTATTGAATTGGTAATTCTCGATACAAAGTGCAACTAAATTGGTAGTGTTGGTGTATAATAGAACGAGAAATATTTTTATGAAAATATTTACATCACATAAATTTAATTTGTAGGAGTAATTTGTGATAATATTATTTATATCAATTCATAATTTATTAATTAAAATAATATAATATTAACACTCAATTCATGTTTTCAATATTGAGGTGTGAGAGGACATGAATCAGGATAGTTAATTACTCATTTAATTCAATTATTTTTAACGAATTACCAAATAAGTGTAGCATAATAATTTTTTTTATTTTTTTATGTTAATGTAGATTATAATTTAACGATTTGATGTTAATCGCAATATAACTTTGGTTAGAAGCCCAATAACTTATTGTTTTACTATTGTATATTCCATAAAATAACATATTCGTCACAATTCCCAATACACATTTTCCTTCTCCACTTTCCTCCATAAAATTCCATTTTCCTTCCATTTTTCTTAACCTTCAAATTGTCCCTCCCCTCCATTTTCCTCTCTTCCTTTGAGAACAGAGGATAAAAAACAGAGTGTTAGTAAATTTGTCTATCCAATTGATTTGATTGATACAATTGCTCGCCATTTGGAAAAGAAGACGACACCCGGTTTAATCTCTCCTCTACGTACCTCCCTCTCATTTCTTCACATCGCTCCCAAAGTTCAGCCATTTCAAACCTAATTAGTAACCAAATTTTTACCTAAATAGATTTTGAATACGTCTAACCTCTTCCTCAACATCCCTCAATTTTCATCCCATCTTACACCTTTGAACAAAACACTCGATGCCCCCATTTCCTTTTCTTTGAAGGAAAACACAAAGAAATTCTTAAACAACATATATTGTTATGCTTTTTTACTCATCCCCTTCTACATCTCTGAAAAAATTGCATCTTTTTGTTAACGATTGTTTTGTTTGATCCTCAAACAAACATTCTACATCTCGGGGGGAAAATGCATTTTTGTTGTTGTTAACGATTGTTTGATCCTCAAACAAACAATCTACGCAGCAGCAACAGAAAGGTATATCCATGAAAAAAAATATGGACGATGACCAAAATCAAGAATTCCGTACTTCTTAAATTTGATCATTGTTTTTATCACCCCCGATTATACACATTCTTTTATTTCCTCTTTTTGTTCTTGTGGAATACCTTTGCTTACGAAATTCATTCGTTCAAATTCAAATATAATCCCCTCCCTCGCTTTCCTTCTTAATTGCCATTTTATTTTGGTATATGTACATTTACCAATGCCTGTGGCCGACCCAAGTTCAGGCCAATTCTACATATGGATCATAGCAGTTGTCTTGTTCATGGCCGTGACACTCGGTGGGAGCTTCCTCATAATGTACCTGATCCTCCCTCCCAGCCCTTCCACACAATGGCTCCCCATTGCAGGAGTCTCCCTCGTTTGCCTCCCTTGGGGATTTTGGTTAGTCACTTGCATCTATCGTGTCGTATCTCGTACTTTTGGGTTTAGGGTAGTCATTGGTGGTGGTGGTGGTGGCGGCGGCGGTGGAGGAGGAGGGGGAGGCAATGGAAACAATATCGACAATATCGGGATTAGTGGTAGCGGGTCGGAATCATCTAAAGGTCTTATCAGAGATTCGAAAGAGGAGGCGGATGACCCAAACAAAAACCATCAATTTGTTAGAAATGTGGGTGAAAATGGCAAAAATGATAAGGAAGGTGGTCAAGGAATCAAGCGAGCTTCGAGTTCTGCCAATGAGGCTGTTGTTGGTTCCACTGAGAGTGAAATGCCATTGACCTCTGGTGTTAAATCTTGATGGTACATAATATAGATTCTTCAAAATCCTTCTTATGTTTTTTTTATGCAATAGGTGCATAATTGACGTCGAATTTGGGGACGTTTAACATTGTTAAAAGGAAATTAGTGCATCGGCAAGGAAATATGGCTTGATTAGTTATTATCATCACTTATCCTTTTGTATGATGTAACCTTCTTGTTTACACCTTGTGGGTTGTATCGTGTAATTTGATATGCCATGATCTTGTTTTCTACTCATAAAGTTATTGTCTAGTCCTAGTTTAGAGCTTATAGTCAGTTGAATACATATAAAAGGAAATAATTATTTAGTTCATTAATTTACTTTGTTTTTCTTCGTTTCAATACTGATATGATTCTATTGTACGCAGCCTTTTGATTTCCTTATTTTAGAAACATACAGGAGATGACCCTAAAAGAGATGTATATTGTATCGTGTAATTTGATATGCCATGATCTTGTTTTCTACTCATAATGTTATTGTCTAGTCCTAGTTTAGAGCTTATAGTCAGTTGAATACATATAAAAGGAAATAATTATTTAGTTTATTAATTTACTTTGTTTTTCTTCGTTTCAATACTGATATGATTCTATTGTACGCAGCCTTTTGATTTCCTTATTTTAGAAACATACAGGAGACAACCCTAAAAGAGATGTATATTGTATCGTGTAATTTGATATGCCATGATCTTGTTTTCTACTCATAAAGTTATTGTCTAGTCCTAGTTTAGAGCTTATAGTCAGTTGAATACATATAAAAGGAAATAATTAATTAGGTCATTAATTTACTTTGTTTTTCTTCGTTTCAATACTGATATGATTCTATTGTACGTAGCCTTTTGGTTTCCTTATTTTAGAAACATACAGGAGACGACCCTAAAAGAGATGTATATATGTACCATCCACATCCTCAAGTTAGACATTCACAATTAGCTATATGTACTCATGGAATCAAAGCTCAAAGATCAATGCTTAAAAATGAAGATTGAAATGTAAATTCTACGCTTTGGTGTCGATCTTTCAAAAGAAACTAAAATGTCAAAATATTCTACCAAAAAAGAAAAAATATTAGGACTTAAAATAGTAGTATAAATAAATTAATTTAGAAAGACTAATGTGTAACCGCACATCCTTTCTCGGTCCAATATACATTCTGGAATGCCTGACAACAAGGTTGTTAAATTCTTATCGGGCCCCCGGTTAGACCCTATTCGACCAAAGTCGGGCTTTAAAACGACATTCAGAAAGCTCCCGGTGTAATCCCTAAAGAGGCAGAAGAAGAGAGAGGGAAGAGGAAGGGAGGTGTGGGTGGAACATGGGGGTTAAATATGTTTTTATTTTGTGGTAAATAAATTTTTAATTCATATATGTAAGATAAATTTCATTTTAATCATTAAAATTTAAATTACTACATTATTTGTACATATATTTAGTAAAAATATAAAACGGTTTAAACCAGTCGGACCCCAATCAGACCAATAAACTTCAAATTCCTTACTTGACCGTTTTAATGATTTAAATCGGTTTGACAACCTTATGTGGCAAGGGGCAAGCAAGTGACACCGACTCCCGATGTTTCCCATAATTTGCGAATTGAATTTCAAATAGACGTTGCCCAAGCGAGAACAGAGAAAACATCACATCCTCTCTCTCTCTCCCTCTCTCTCCTCCGCCAAAACTTCTTCACAACAACCCTTCAATCAGCGGGAGGTAGCTCGTCGGAGCAGAAATGGCGGACGGTCTTAAGAAATCTCATTGGAAGCATCCGACAAGTCTCAATGACAGTCACTACAGTCTCCTCAAAGTCTATTGATCCTGTTTTTCACCGAAGATTAAGTCCAATAAGCACCAATTTGAACGAATTCATTTTCGGATGGCGTTTTTTCGTAAATTTTTGGGCAATTTTTTTTACGAAATGCCATTTTCATTGAATTTTCAAGGCTACAGATCACTGATTCGCCCTGAGGCTATTCTTGAACGATGATTTAGTCCATTAAGCACCGATTTGCGTGGATTTCTTACTCGTCCATTTTTGGCAGACTCCAAAGGGGTACCATCACCGATTTTTGGGCTATTTTCTCGAAATGCCATTTTCTTTCGATTTTGAAGGCTACAAATCATGGATTCAACCTGGGGCTATTCTCCACAATAATGAAGCCTATGGATCCAACTCTCCACTGAAAAATAAGTCTTTTAAGCACCGATTTGAACGAATTCATTTTCAGATAGAATTTTCGTAATTTTTTGGGCGATTTTTTTTCAAAAGGCCATTTTCCTTGGATTTGGAAGGCTACAAATCACGGATTTGGCCTGAGGTTATTATTGAAAGACGATTAAGTCTATTAAGCACCAATTTGGGGGGATTTCTTTCGAGTCCATTTTTGGCAGTCCCCAAAGGGGTACCATCACTGATTTCATACGATTTTCGCGAAATACCATTTTTCCGATTTTAAAGGCTACAAATCACGAATTCAGGTCGAGATTATTATCCACCGATGGTGAAGTCTATGGATCCTATTCTCCACTGAAGATTAAGTCCATTAACCACCGATTTGGGCGAATTCAATTGCGGATGGCGTTTTTCGTAATTTTTTGGGCGTTTTTTTTCTTCGAAATACCATCTTCCATGGATTTAGAAAGCTACTGATCACGGATTCAGCCTGATGCTATTCTTCAATGACGATTAAGTCCATTAAGCACCAATTTGGACGGACTTCTTCCGGGTCCATTTTTGGAAGACTCCAAAGGGTTACCATCACCTATTTCATGCGATTTTCCCAAAATGCCATTTTCTCCATCTATAATGAAGTCTATTGATCCTATTCTCCACCGAAGATTAAGTCCATTAAGCACTTATTTAAACGAATTCAATTTCATATGGCATTTTCGTATTTTTTTGCTCGATTTCTGTCGAAAGGCCATTTTTCCTGGATTTTGAAGGCTACATATCACAGATTCGTGCTGAGGCTATTCCATAACGATGACTAAGTCCATTAAGCACCGATTTGGGCAGATTTCTTCCGGATTCATTTTTGGCAGTCTTCAAAGGGGTACCATCACCGTTTTCAGACAATTTTGAAAACCACAGAACACGAATTCAGGTCGACACTATTATCCACCGATAGTGAAGTCTATGGATCATCCTATTTTCCACCGAAGATTAACCACCAATTTGGGAGAATTCATTTTCGAATGGCATTTTTGTAATTTTTTTAAATGCCATTTTCCTTGAATTTTAAAGGCTACTGATCACAGATTGGTCTAAGACTATTCTTCAACGACGATTAATTCCATTAAACACCAATTTGGACGGATTTCTTCCGAGTACATTTTTGGTAGACTCCAAAGGGGTACTATCACCGATTTCGGGCGATTTTCCCAAAATGTCATTTTCTTTTGATTTTGAAGGCTACAGATCACGAATTCGGCCTGAGCCTATTCTTAGACGGTGATTAAGTCCATTAAGCACAGATTTGGGCGGATTTCTTCCGAGCCCATTTTTGGCAGACACCGAAGGGGTACCATCAAGGATTTCGGGCGATTTTCCCGAAATGTAACTTTTTTGATTTTGAAAGCTACAGATCACGGATTCAACCCGAGGCTATTCTCCATCGATAATGAAGTCTATTGTTCCTATTCTTCACTGAAAATTAAGTCATTAAGCACCGATTTGAAAGAATTCATTTTCGGATAGAATTTTTGTAAATTTTTGGGTGATTTTTTTTCGAAAAGGACATTTTTCTTGGATTTTCAAGGCTACATATCACGTAGTTGTCCTGAGGCTATTATTGAACGCTGATTAAGTCCATTAAGCACCGATTTGAGGGGATTTCTTCCGGGTCCATTTTTGGCAATCTCTTAAGGGGGTACCATCACCGATTTCAGACGATTTTCCTGAAATACCATTTTCTTTCGATTTTGAATGTTACAGATCACGAATTCAGGTCAAGACTATTATCCACCGATAGTGAAGTCTATGGATCCTATTCCCCAACGAAGATTAAGTCCAATAAGCACCGATTTGGGCGAATTCATTTTCGGGTCACATTTTCGTAATTTTTTGGCGGTTTTTTTTTGAAAGGCCATCTTCCTTGGATTTTGAAGGCTACTAATCACGGATTCTCCCTAAGGCGTATTCTTCAACGAAGATTAATTCCATTACGCACCGATTTGGACTGAGTTCTTCTGAATTCATTTTTGGCAGACAACAAAGGGGTACCAGCACTAATTTCTACCGATTTTCTCGAAATTCCATTTTCTTTCGATTTTGAAGGCTATAGACCACAGATTTTGCCCGAGGCTGTTCTCCACTGAAAATGAAGTCTATTGATCCTATTCTCGATCGAAGATTAAGTGCATTAAGAACCAATCGAACGAATTCAATTTCGGATGCCATTTTCGTAAAATTTTGGGCTTTTTTTTAATGGCCATATTTCTTGGATTTTAAAGGCTACAGATAACGGATTCGGCCTGAGGCTATTTTTAAACTGTGAGTTAGTCCATTAATCAACGATTAGGGAGAATTTCTTCCGAGTCCATTTTTGGCAGTCTCCAAAAGTACCCATCACCGATTTCGAGCGATTTTCACGAAATGTCATTTTCTTTCAATTTTGAAAGCAACAAATCACGGATTCAGGTCGAGGCTATTCTCTACCGATGATGAAGTCTATTGATCGATTTGAACGAATTAATTTTCGGATGACATTTTTGTCATTTTTTGGGCGATTTTGTTTCGAAAGGCCATTTTTCTTGGATTTTCAAGGCTACAGATCATGGTTTCGGCCACAAGGCTACATATCATGGATTCGGCCTCTAGCTATACTTGAACGATGATTAAGTCCATTAAGCATCAATTTGGTTGAATTTCTTCCGGTTCATTTTTGGCAGACTCAAAAGGAGTAACCATTACCGATTTTGGGCTGTTTTTCCCAAAAGCCCGAGGCTATTCTCCACCGATAATGAAGTCTATTGATCCTATTCTCCACCGAAGATTATGTCCATTAAGCATCGAGTTGGGCAAATTCATTTTTGGATGGCATTTTCGTAATTTTTTGGGCAATTTTTTTTCAAAAATCCATTTTCCTTGTCTTTTGAATGCTACAGATCACGGATTCGGATTGAGACTATTCTTGAACGATGATTATGTCCATTAAGAACTTATTTGGGCGGATTTCTTCTGGATCCATTTTTTGCAGACTCCAAATGGGTATTATCACTCATTTAGGTTGAGACTATTATCCACCGATAATGATGTCTAGGGATCCTATTCTCCACCGAAGATAAAGTCCATTAACCACCGATTTGGGTGAATTCAATTGCAGATGACATTATTCATATTTTGTTGGGCGGTTTTTTTATCGAAAAGTCATCTTCCTTGGATTTTGAATGCAAATAATCACGGATTCAGCTTCAGGCTATTCTTCAATGACGATTAAGTCCATTAAGCACCGATTTGGGCGGATTTCTTCCAGGTCAATTTTTGGCAAACTCCAAAGGGTTACCATCGCTTATTTCGGGCGATTTTCCTGAAATACC